CTTTCAAGGAAGTGAGACTAAAGAAACTATTATATTTCCTGCAGAAAAGTGAAATGGATTACTCTACCTTAAAACCCATTCTTGCTCTCCTTGTGCAGGAGAGGAGTAGGAAGTGGGATGGGGATGCGAGGAACCAAATGTGGTGGGTGGTGCTATCCTCATAAACGTTCCTGGAGAGGCCTGCTCCCTGCGTCCATTGAGGGGACAAAAGAGACCATGAGCAGGAAGAATTCCTTGAAATTACAGAATTTCAAGCACTGAAAACAGTTGCTTTCTGAACAAAACAAGCTGGAAGGCTGCTTAAGAATGTTGCAATTTAAAGACAAAGATGTACCATGAAGGGGCTTGACCACAGACAACAATTTTCTAGCTACTTCTGTTCTATGATCAGAATCTGTCTAGTTAAAGAATTTTATTTCTCGGCAGAAGTTTATGGAAGACTATGCAAAATCGGAAAGTTTTCTTACGATCCAGAAGGGAGTGAATGCAGGTGAAATTGCAGCTTGACAGAAGAATGTTTTTCTTTGATTCTCTCATATAGCATCACAAAGTTTAAGCCAGCAGTAGCTGGGGCATGATGTGCACATGTGAGAGTCCCTGTAATGAGCCCGTGGCAGAGCGCCCAGAAGTGAAAGATGCACCCAGAGAACCTGGTGCATAAGCCTGACACTGAGGGAAAGAACTTCCGGTGCTTGATACCACGAACTTGTTCATGCTGTAAAGTTTTTAGCTCCTTGAACTTTCGGAGTAGCTGTGACTCCTCTGTTCTGAGTAACTATGTAGGGAAATGTTACCCTTTATCTGTTAGTCGCATGTTAATGGCTCATAGGGGACATAATAATGACTATAGAGTTTGGGGAGTATCCTCTCCTTGCAATTGTGTTCGGGCTCTTCACCGAAGAATGACCATAACACTTCATGACCTTCCCTCTAAGGCTCATTCATGCATGACGGAGTTCTATGGCTGTTATAATTTGATGATGAGCCCTATGTGTGAAGCACCTTATTATTCAAAAGAGTGCATCCTACATACTTAAACTCTGTTCTTTCAACAGTGCTGTGAAGCAAGGGGAACAAAGTATTATTTCCAACCTCCTGTTGGGGGAAATACTGGGACGTGAAGTGCAGATAGACTCAGTCAAGATCATGCAGTTAAAAACACTGGGTATAAAATTCCCCTCTGCTAGTTACCGTTAGGTTTCATGGCCTGCTTTTTCAACCATCACCTTTTCCGCTTACGGGCCACTCCAGTTTACCAACAATAACAAGAAAACAATAATAGTGTTTAAGGGCAATATTTATTGGTACACACCATATGCCAAGCACTGTTCTAAGCATTTCAAAAGCAGCTATCTTTTAAAGTTCACAACTGTAGGGAGTGGATATCACTATTAACCGTAATTAACTGAGGGAATTGAGGTGTAGGAGGGCGTGACTTGCTATAACTCACATAACTAATGACAGAAGCAGAAATCTAGACATTCTCGCTCCAGAGCCCAAGCTCTTAATAGTTGCGCCATTCTCAATTTTAAAAGTGCCACGAACATGAATTTTTGCCTCAAAGATAAAAAGAATATATTTGCATAACACTTAAATTTTTGCCCAAGGATTTTGTAGTATTTCGGAGGTTTGTTTAATTTCTGTGTACTTTATAATCAGATAGCTGGTAGAACATAATTTCCTAAATCTAAAAGAGGAAGGTTTTGGTACCACCTCATGTGTGGTTCAGAGCCTAGAAATTTGCAAGAACTACAAGTTGAGAACTACCATTGAAGCCTCAGATAAAAAATTTTAATGAAATTTCCAGTCTAACATGTAACACTTAACACTGAGATAAAACCTAAAGAAGCAAGTTAAATTTGCATGAAGTTTCTTAGCTTTCAGAGATCCCAAAAGTGACAGATACTTCACATTTATAAAGAATAAGTAGTAGATTCATTAATATAAAGGACCTTTAAATTAGAAATTTAAAATATTCCAAATCAGTTTTGAAGATAGTCTTTTGTTGCCCTGTAAAAGTTTAGAAAGGAGAGAAAAAGTTTAGAAAGGAATATTTCCCACAAAAAAGCTCTTATATTGTCATTTATGGAAAAAAAACAACAGGAAGAGGGATCTATAATGTAAAATATACAGGACCTTGTATGGGATAATATGCATTTCAATATTTTCTATGTTATAAGAATTTTTATCTTACCCCACTATAACACAGAAAGGCTTTCCACGTTCTGATTTAAATTGATGAAAAGGATGAGCAGCCCTTAAAGCTGTCCCAAAGGTAGAATAGCAGACTAGCTAGAGAAATAACTAAGGGAAGCAAAGCCCTGTACAGTGGAGTGTTGGGACGAAATGAGCATTCTTGCTTGGTCTCCAATTTAACTCCTGATGAAGTGAAAAGCATACTATTCTGCCCCTGAATGAATTAAAGAGACAGCTTATCTAGAAATGCAGATGTAGCATCAGAAAGGCCATGGAGGTAAGTGGAGGGCAGAAAGTTAGACAAAAGCCCTTTGAGACCAGTGACGATCACCCATTCCAATTGCCACTTGCCTTACTCCAGGGAGCTAGCACAGGAATCACCTTGGGATGCGGGCCCAGCATGCTGGCTCAGCATGCTAGCTGCACAACCCCAGCATGGTCCTGACCTCGAGCTGTGCTTTCTTCAACCACAAGGCCATCCTCTAGCCCAGCGATTTTCAACATTGTTCATCGCATGGCACACATAAACTCATTACTGAAGTGCTGTGGCACACAATATTTTTTGCTGACCTGACAGAAAAAAATGGTATAATTTTTTATTCATTCACACCAGATGGTTATTGTTATGTTTGGATGTTGTCATTTTTTAATTGGACAGTTTAAGGGAAAAGAGGTCAGTCCTCCTGACTAAATAATCAGGTATGGTGTGCTTTAAGATTTTTTACTGCACACCAGTGCACTGTGCCATGGCACACCAGTTGAAAATCACTTTTCTAGCCCAACACTCAGAAGGGAAACAATGAAGTGTCTTGTCTTAATCTGTCACTGAGTGAGGCTATTCATTTTCTTTGCAGGAAAAAATAAAGATTCTGATCTGTACTGTTGTATAGAAAACATTTTTTGAAAGTAAACATAATATATGACATAGACATCCTCAAGTGAATTAGCGTCCTAGACTCAGAGGGCTGCCAAAACTTAGGGAGTGTGTTCATTCACCTCTACACAGCCAATGTCCTGAATGAGGTCTTTCTGAAGCTGGTTCGAAAGAATAAGCATTGGAAATTTCTACTATGCCCTGCCCGCCATGGATCTCTAAAGATGCTCAGTGGTAGAGGTGCCTTGTAAAGCCTTATTGAACAGGGTACTGCCTTGATGCCACCTTAACATTCATGGTGATCAGGGAATGAGTCATAAGATTAAGCTGTCAGGACAACTTGCTTACTCCCTTCAGTACTTGAATGAGATTGCTCAGACCACTGCAAACATTCGGTTACGAACTCACAGGTGCCGAGGTAGAATGTGGGTGTGAACTGCCCGTTCATCTAATCTGTAGGTGGTAGTGAATGCTCATTATTCTTGCAGGGCCTTTCATCCATGAATGCCTGAGTTTAGCAGCAGGGATTTAGTCTTGAAGGAAGAAATAAAGGTAAAAATCTGAGTTGTAACTAGAAGGAACAGTGAGTTGCCATTGAAAGTCCAGAGACTCAGCTTCTTGGGACAGTACTGGTCAGGACTAGCTTTATAACCTTGGACAAGCCACCTAATCTCTGAGGTTCAGGTTACTACTACTCAGTGGTCAGAAGAGGAGTTTAAACTGGTTGCTTGCCAAGGTCAGGATCACCACTAGATCTCTAGGTTCTCCAACTTGAGTAGACCCAGAGAGTGTCAAAGTAGATTTTCTTTGGTATTCAAATGAATTAACCATCATAAATTCCTACACTTTCAGAAGACATCTATCATGTGGGCCATAGGCCTTAGTCTAAATTGGATGCCCAGGCAGTATTTTATTCTTACAGATGTGGAGAGGAAGAAATGTCCTTGGTTTGTGCTATCCAATACAGAAGCCACTAGCCATATGTGGCTGTTTGAATTTTAGTTTAAAATCACGATTAAATCACGATTTCAGTTCCTCAGTCACACTGGCCACAATTTCAAGTGCCCAGTAGTCACATGTGACCAGTGTCTACTGGACTGGGTGGCGTAGACACAGGACTGCAGAAAGTCTGTTGGTCAGCGCTGCACCAGACCATCCACTGCAGCTTCTTGTCCCTTAGTGCGGGTTGTAGATGTGTGTGCCCTGGGATGACTGTGTGTGTCTGTGGGGAATGAAAGAGTGGATTCAGTGCCACTCAGAAAGGCAGTGCAGGAACCCCTCAGGAATGGATGTCCGCATTAGACAGTCTGAGAGAGATGGGGACGGGGGAGGTCGGAGAAGGAATCAAGGAACACCCAAACCATTCCGTGCCTTGGGTCTTGACGAGATCTGAGCTTTTGTGTAGGACACAGGGACCCTAGAGCAGGGTTCCTCAGAGAGATTGTCACCCCATGCACAGCTGATTCCAACAATGGGAAAGTATGAGAAGGGCAGAGCTACCCTAGTCCCCAGAAAACCAGGGACCCTGTCGACACTCAGTGGTAGGAAGAAGGTCAGTCATGCTAAGTTGTTACACAGCCTCTCAGTGGCAGGAGGAAGCATAATTCAGATGTTCTGGAAATAGGTGAGAGGGGTAACCACTGACAGTTGGCTCCCTGGGTACAGGTCTATGCAGGCTAAGCCAGCTTATGTTTTGAGACTTGAGCTTGAATGTGTTAGTAAGAAAGTATCCTGTGACACAGCAAGAAGGCTTTTTCTACAGAGTTGGCATGTTGGCTCCGCCTCCCCTGTGGGTCCTGATGGCTAGGGGGCCACGCATATGGGGAAGGGAAAAAAATCAGAGGCGGATGGCAAAAAGAGTGTAATTTTAGCTGCTGTCTGGAAGCCATCTGTGAAGGGAGTCACCTTTCTCTTCTGGACTTACTTCCAGGCGCAGCTGCAGGGGACGACACCGAAGATGCGAGCACCGAGTTCACTGACAGTATTGAGGAGGAGGCCGCACACAATAGCCACCAGCAAGTAAGTCCGAGTCAGGTGCTGGGCCCCAGGGTGGAAGGCTCCTAGCCCTGTGGGGTCCGGTGGTCTCCTGCAGCCCTCGTGCACCTAGAGGAGGAGCTACCCTTTTATATAAAGCACTTCCCAGGCTTCTCCCTGCCCTCCCTGAGCTTCCCAGCCACCCCGCCTACCTCCCTCCTCACTCCGTTTCTCTCTTCAGTCCACCCTTTTGTCTTTACTCCTCCTATCTCTTACTCCTGCTCCCTTCCCCCGCCCCCCGCCCACCTTTGCCCCATGTACTGTCTATAGCTGTAGTTTCAGGAGAATATTTACTTACAAGACCACAGACACTTTCCCTCTTGGGCTTTGGTAACTGAAACACACCACAGAAGACAGAGAGTCATCGAAGGGCCACTTGGGGAGGGAGCAGAACCTGGGACCTGCTTTGGGAGATTGCTCTCTGAGAAACTCTTAAGAGGATCAGGGTCATTCCCAGTGACATCATATTGTATAAAAGAGAACTTTGTTGGGCAACTGGATGGACCACCCAGCTCACGACCCATCAGTGACCAGGATATGACATTTCGAGAGCAAGCCCCTGTCACCCCTCAGAATTCAAAACCCAAGGCTGAAACACGGTTCTCACCAACCATCAATGAAGCTCAAGAGTCGAATGTCCTGGATCTCAGAGATTAAGTCCCCAGCAGCAATACCACAGCACTCACTGGGACTCCCATGTGTCCCCAGTGACATTTAGTGCTCACATCTCCTACATGGACCATGCCTGTGGCTCTGAGTCGTTAAGGAGAACGTGAATTACTGGTACCTGCCCTGCATAGGCCACTGGGCATCTTCACTGATAACTTCCTTGGGGCTGTTAGGAAAGCTGTAGGGGAAATGAGGCTTTCTGGGTCCGCCTGTACATCTGCACAAGAAAAGGAAGACACAGCTAGTAGACCAACAAGAAGAGTCCAAGCAAGCAGTTCCATAATTTCAGAGGATTTCGCAATCTTTGGCTCTGGAAGACACGAGTATTTGGAGTATCCCACATTCTCAACACAGATTCTGTACCTTCTGTCAAGATCCTTTCTTTATTGCTCTAGACATACCTGACCCTTACTTTTCCCTTGAGTTTCTGCATGAGCTCTACTTATCCTTTTGCTTGAACAGCTTCTTCTGAATCCTGCTGACCAGTGCTTGTAACTTTAAGTATGTGCACCACAGCCCTTTGGACAGGTCCCTCTGCCTCTCACTTCCTGGTTTCACTGAGGATCTTGGGTGAGCAAGAGGGCTCTGCAGGATTACCAGATGTCTACCCCAAGACAGCTAGGTTGAGCTCTCAGCAAGTGGCTGATGGTTATTGCTACCGTGGTTCAGGATTAACCTCAGAATAATGGACAGGAGACACAGATATGAAGAGAGTCAGATTCTCATTGACAAGCCTTCACTCTAATTCTCAGATGTAGGCAAACTGGTCAGTAAAGTCATTTCTTCCTTAACCTTTTTTCCTATAGCCTGGCATGGAGAAAATGACCAGAGCACATTTTGAGAAGGTTAGTTCCATCCTGAAACAAACCTTTAGGGGGGCATCTGTGTTTCCCTTACAATGTCTGCCTATTACTTGGCATAGGAGATAGTAAATTAGGGGTTCAAAAAATCTTTGGATTGGGGCGTGACTCGTGGTAGACAAGGTACATATACCTATTGGATGTAGCATATCTTGGGTAAGCACCATTTTGCTTTCCATCACCTTTCCTTGAAACTTGGATCTTCAGTCCTGGGTAAGAGGTGTGTGAAATCATTGTAAATTTACTTGAACTTTTCTGAAGCTTGAGGGTGTGACTCTTCTGCTACCAATTAAATAAAGCTTCTTCTTTTTTTTTTTTTTTGCTGTAACTGTTTTGTGTCAGATTCTCAAAAATGCGTTTGCTTGTTTCCAAGGAAAATGGTTCCTTAAGAATATAGGCTCTGAGCTTCTTCTAGGTGTGTTCTTAGAAGGTTGACTTTATTCTCAACACAAAGCTCCCCTCCTACCTCAAGCATACACACAAGTGCCCTAACAAACACATCCAACTTTGTGTTTCTTCCAAGGCAGGAACCACCTTTTGGCCAAAGCAAGTCGCTCTATCCTTATATTTGAACTCACCCACCTCAGGAAGTCTCAGGTCTGGCCATGATGGTAATTTCCATTCTCAGTCAACTGTAATATCCATAATAAATACCTAAAAATTCCTGTGAAAGAAATGAGTTGCTGTCATACTTAAGCTTTTGCGGGAGAAAAGTGAATCAAGAATCAAGATTCAAATCAAAGGAGAGAAAAGTCGGTAGACTCAGTGTGATGAACTTGAGAAGAGAATATTTTTAATGTCCTTAATGCCGTCAGACAACTGACTTACATTGTGAGGGACGTGAAGCAATAGGGTAAAAACAGAGCAGCTCTATTCCAACAAGAGATCAGAGCTACATGTAGACCTCTGTGGGGCAAATGGAAACCCAGCACACCAAAAAGTTGAGTTCTGTTCAGTGGAAGCAACAGAACAGATGAATTAGGAAATGTGAAAAAAAGGGGGGAGGCCCTATAAGATATATAATTAACAATAGAAATAAAGGATTTATACTGCCACCGCACATATTTGGGGTTTTATTGGGGGGGGATATTAGCCTTCATGCATTTCCATTAAAATGTTAAAAATAAGTTAGCCAAAGTAAGCCTCCTTTGACGTGGAAATATGAAAACCCAAATTAGCCTGGGAACAAATCAGATCTCCCTTTTCTTGTTTTCAGGTGGGAGATTAGACCAGATGGACCCCATGGTCCCTTACAATGTTAACATTCCATGGGTCTTTATTTTTTATTTAAATAAAGTAGATATATTGAAATCAATAGAAAAAGATATTCATCCAGAAGGCACATTAAAAATAGGCAGGCATCATTAAAGTTAGGCATTATTTTTAAGCAGAAGGAACCCTTAAGGTTTAGAACAGAAGAAATGTGCCCATATTCAAAGATGATGGCAACGTTTACTTAGGGTAGTTGCAGAGTTTACACAGACAGATTCACACAGTTTCAATGGGGGCTGAGGTTCTGAACTTTCAAACGTGGTCTTAGCCAATCCCCCTTCCTTTATTTTGTCCCAGAGCCTTCGTGACACATGCAGGAGAGCCACCAGTCTAACCCAGTCTGGCAACAGAGGCGCAGAGACAGACATTCCAGAGCCTCCCAGATCTCAGGCTCACAATCCCAGGGGGGCTTGAGTGTCTAGGAAATGAGCAGCCATATTGGCTCACCTCTTTCATCTTTGACCCGGATGCACTCTCTTCACAACCCCAACTGCTAGGCTACAAATCGCCATCGCACATGCATGCTGTGAATCAACCCCATCACACACCTGAAACCTAGATCTTACTATGTGCTCTGTTACGGAATCAAAAGCAAAAGCCAATAGCTTTGTGCCAAGCCAAGCAGCAGTATCAGTCACTAACCCATTTATGCTCCTTGGGACCCTGTTTTGTTCAACATATTTGTGACCTGAATGAAGGAATAAAGCATTTAATTCTATGATGTGTCCTTAATCAAGCAGCCATTACATGATTTATGGAGATGCACATAAATATTTTGAGAACCCTGGGAAGTGATTCTGTATAAGCAGGATGAATTCATAAATGACAAGTACAGTCCTAATATTTACAGAGATAAAAGATGACAAGCAGCATGACCCAGAAACAGGCGTGGGGAGAGGCGGGAAACTGGCGGGTCAAAAATGACCTGAAGTGAGGTAAAACCTCCAAATGTTGCTACTGAGGGGAAAAAGAGCCAACATGACATCGGGGGACAGGATTAGTGGTGGACTGACAGGCAAAGTCTTGCACTGAAATAATTAGTCATGCACTAAGTTGACTATCTTACTCGGGGGGTTGGTTTCTGCACTTTTAAAAGCATAGGGAAAATTGGAGAGGAGCCCAAGATGAATAAGAAAGTCTAAAAGTTAAAAATTCTCAGTGGAGGAAAAATCATATGATCTGCTTTAGTTGAAACATTGAGGAGTAACTTCAAGAGTATTTTTAAAAGGGTGGTGGGGAATCATTGCTGCCCTGTTTTTTCTCACGTGCTTAGAGTTGTAGAGAGAGTGGAGCAGGCAGCATGAGCACGGGGTGATTACCCATCCAGAGAAATCGCCTGCGGCCTCACTTTAACTTCCCAGCAGTTGTGGGGTGTGAGCTCCTGCTGCCAATGAAATTGAGCTTGCTTTGTCTTACCTGCTGCTCCGCCCAGACTCTGATTCTGTGACCGTGACTCCTGGCTGTGGAGCACCCTGAGTCCTCTGTCTGAATCACCCTGAGTTAAGAGCACAGCCCTGGGGTTTGAGCTCTGGGGTCTGGAGTCTTGATCTTCACAGTCAAGGACTCAAGTGTCTTGGAGCCTAGGAAACTTCCTTACTTGTGAGCAGACTCTCAGGGAAATCTGCCCCCTCAGGAAGAGAAGAATCACAGCACCCACATTTTCCAGTCCCATTTAAACCTTATTTGTTTGCTTTTTTTTTATTATTTGCTGTGTTTTTTTTTCTCACCCACCTCTGGAATCTCCTCTTCCTGCCCATGGCAATAATTCTTCCTGCCCGCAGAGAGTATCCTCCCCACGCAAACCAGTCCCCAGGGCCCTTGTGGTAGAGGAAGAACTGGAGGGAGCTCATTTTAGGTCTGCCTTTTCTAGTTCCCATTTCAAGGCTGCCTTTCAGGTCTGATGTTCTTCTTGGGTCCTCTTCAATGACCTGACTTCTTTAAACCATGATTTTCTTTCAGCTCATCAGAGTGGCTCTGGAGAAAAGTCTGGCAGCTGTGGAGACCCAGAAGGTGTCTCTTCCCTCTCCGTTCCCGACAGGAGGGGAGAATGACAGGGGTCTTCAGGAGGAGATGCTCCACCTGAGAGCTGAGATCCACCGGCACTTAGAGGAGAAGAGGAAAGCTGAGGGGGAACTGAAAGAGCTAAAGGCTCAAATTGAGGAAGCAGGATTCTCCTCGGTGGCCCACATCAGGTAGGACATGCCCCCAGAGACGGGGAGCCTGCCAATTGAGAGGCCGCCATAGCCCAGGGACTCACCTTGCTGCAGCCAAAGCACCGGCGCTGCTGTGGGGCTTCTCAGTCCACATCCCAGGCTCCAGGCGATTGTGTTTCTACAAATTCTTTAGAGAAAAGTGAATAATATTGGATAATGGGATTGTCAATAATTACCCTTCAAATTATTCAAATAAAGCTGGTTTTAATTTCATATGATAATGCTCCTTTGTAGCCATCCAGATGACAATCAGGAGTGGAAATCTAGTTGTATAACTGGTATTGCTCTTTTGAATTGACTGGAACATACAAGGAATCTCCTGGCACCCAAGATGCTTCACTGCTGTGTGCACAACCAGAACAGTTTACGAGAAGTATCAACTCCATCTCCACTCAGCTCGGTCCCAGAAGCACGAGGCCTTGAATTATAGAACAGCAATTTTATTATTCTCTGGTATCTTCACAAAAGTGGGAAATAGCTGATTCATGGGCTAGACTGGCCACATTGTCTTTAATGCCTTTTTCTTTTTCCCCCCAAAAGATGCTTGGGAACATGCTGGTGACATGGGGTCAATTCCTGTATTCATTCATCCCTGATTATCCGTAATCAGCATGGCCTGTTGCTTAGAGCACAGCGCTGCAGACGTACCACTTCTCCCTCATGCCCTTATTTCCCCGCCTATTATGTGCCCCTGAAATATCCCTGAATTCTAGAATAACAGTAGCCCTAGAGAGGACCTTGGCATCTGACCTAATGTTCTTGTTTTGTAGTTGAGGAAACTCAAGCCTCAAAAGTTCTAGTAACTTGCTCAAGGTTGGGTGAGAGTCCCGGGCCAGACCCCTGGCTCCCAGTTTCTACGGTCTGTGCTTTTCCTTCACGCTACAGACTGTGTCAGACGGCGTTGGAATCATTCTTGTGCTCACGGTTCTTTTTTGTTGGTTCTCTTACTCTGAGTTACCCTGGAATTTCTTTCTTTAAAGTCTATTTAAGCTAAAGGATGAGTTTTACTTAAACCCTGTTCTATGTAAACTCAGTTGAGCTATCAGAGGTAAGAACATTATTATCTCTTTTGATCCTACAGTTGATAGAACTCACAGTCAAACCACAGGCACATATTTTTGTGGATTATTTTCCTTTTCTTTTACTCTCACCAAGGATGTATTTATTGATTTTAGAGAGGAAGGGAGAGAAAATGAGAGAGAGAAACATCGATGTCAAAACATCAATGGTTTGCCTCCCTTATGCTCCCTGAATGGGGACTGACCCCCAACCTCTTGGAGCGTGGGGAACAGCCCTCCAACTAACTAAGCCACTCAGCCAGGGCAAGCGTTACGTTCCTTTTTTCCTGAGAGTTACTGACCGGAAACTTTGACTTGTTTTACTCTCTACCCAACCTTCAGATTCCCTGATATTGCAGAAGATAGAATGTATCTAATTAACGCATAGCTTACCTCTTGAGAAGATTTTGTTGAGCTTTGTTTTCCCTAGTTTATATTGTGAAAACAATAGGGTTTCCCCCAAAGCATAAAGTTAAAATATTAAATGTTTTTCTGTACTACACATGTGTCCCTTTTATTCCTTCTTACACCTCAGTTTGGGTGAAATACCAGCTCCCTTTTTCTCCATTGAGGAAACCCCCTTGGAGATAGTCTGTGCAAGTCCTATGTCCTAAAGTATTTCCTTCCTTCATTAGTACTAGACAAGCTCTGCTCTTGGTTCCAAAAATTCAGGATTATGAGGAATCGAGTCTAGGGGCATAGCCAACTGCTGGTGCTTCAGGTGGCGAATTCTTCATTCCCTCTGCCTCGTCTAGTCAGCAGTTCTCGATTTACCACACTTGAGAAGCCCCTGTGGAACTTAAGCAAAAATGTAGATTCAGGGGCCTTAGAAGCACTTCACCGGACCCTGGTGTTAGTGTTCCTCAGGTCTGCAGCTGCTTCAGCAGAATTAAATGGTTCTCCACTGCAGACCCTGCGCTGACCACCTCACAGATGTAGTTTCATTTAAGCATCCAGTAACTCCACTAGGTAAATGTCGTAACCTTATTTATGTAGGAGACTGAGGCTCAAAGAGGTTGGGCAAATTGCGTGTTTTGAAGTGAATTGCCTTGTCAAAGCCATGTCGTTTTCATTGCTCCCACCAACCCAACTAATGGATTTGGTGGGAGGAAAGAGTGGGTCCAGAATGACTCGGTGAACATGACTGGTTGAGTCCATTTTATTTCTTTGATGTGGAGGCTCTGGGGATGCAGGACGAGCAGGACAGAGCCCCCGCTCTCATGATCGTCTATCACGGCAGTCAGACGCAAGGCAAACTGTTATGAAAGTTCATTCGATTGAAGTTCGGATTAGTAGTGTTCGTTTCCTCTGTGTTCCTGGGTCCCAATTTCTCGTCCAGTAGTTAAAAACTGACGGATGGTAATTAATAGAACTGTAGAGTCTATGACAAAAAATTTGTCCCAGGCAAGGCCTTTATTATTTTTTTTCTTAACAGTTAAAAGTACCCTTGTTTATTCCAGGGCCCAAAGAAAGTTAGAATATCAGGCTGTGTGGTACAGGTAAAGACAACAAAATCGGGTGTCTAAAGTCTCGGATTTCCAATGACGATGCTGCCACCAGGTAGCTATGGGAGCACAGGCAAGGCTCTTACTCTTCCTGAGCCATCATTGTCTTGTTTATAAATGAGAGCGTTATTGTAGGTCTCTGAGATCAATTCATGTTCTGGCCTCTGAGTCTATGATGGAGCGAGACGTGGGTAAATGGGCTTTTAGGAACCGAGGTCAAGATCGGACTTGGGCCCTGATTATCTATGCTTCCGGCAGGAACACTATGCTGAGCCTTTGCCTTGAGAACGCAGAGCTGAAAGAGCAGATGGGAGAAGCAATGTCTGATGGATGGGAGATCGAGGAGGACAAGGAGAAGGGCGAGGCAATGGTGGAGACTGTGGTGGCCAAAGGGGGTCTGAATGAGAAGAGCCTTCAGGCTGAGTTCAGAAAGCTCCAGGGAAAACTGAAGAATGCCCACAACACCATCAGCCTCCTCAAAGAACAGCTGGTGCTGAGCAGCAAGGAAGGCACCAGTAAACTGAGTCCCGAGCTCCTTGTGCACCTGGCCAGGGAGAGCGACGCAAGGAGCACAGAGCCGGTTTGCCCTCCTGGGAAGCCCCAAGGCCAAGAAGAGGAGGATGGAATCGTGAGGCCCCGCCCCAGACCCCAGAGCCTTGACCTCGGGGCTGCCCTCTCAGTGGATGCTCCCCGAGTAAGTGCGGGATGAGCTGGGAAGAAGCACCTGTGGAGGAGGAGGGCTGGAGATGTCAGTTTTGGGGTGAGGAGGTACCAGGGAAGGGCACCTTTGCACCACAAGCGGTGGGTATGATATTCCTCACATATTCAGCCTTAGAAAGCCTTTTGCCACATTATCCTATAAGTATTTCTGGAGTAATTAATTCCCATAAATATGTCTTGCGTGATTACTTTTCTAGTAACACAGTAGGTGTTGGCAGGAAGCAGTAAGACCTGGTCTCTGTCCTTCAGGTACTCAGTGTGGAAGAGAACGATGTCACGAAAACAGATCGTTTCAGTGGTATGCCCTATAGGGGTGCGTGGGTTTTAACGCAGCCCAGACAGGTGGTGTGTAATGACATCTTTCCCTTATCACTGCCATTTTCATCACAGCTCATCACAGGTGTCTGTCCCTGAGTCTCAGAGGAGGTTATAAGGATCCTTTTTAAAGGGGGGATGGCTTTGCTGAGGCTTCGAAGAGGATGGCTGGGGCAGGAATGCAGGGAGATGACTGGAGTTTTCTACCCATTCCCTTTCCAACCACTGAACAAACATTTACTGAGAGCTCCTCCGTGGACTCGACTGGCACTGTGCTGTGTGCTGGAGATGCTGAGATGAATAAAACATTATCCCAGCTCTCCAGGAGCTCCATCTGGAAAGCAAGTCACTGCCAAATGGCCTGAGCAGTGCTGTGACGGGCACAGGAATGAAGGCCGCAGAGCTCAGAAGGGGAAGTGGCCCTCAGTGCCTAGGGGATGACCTCAGACTGCCTGCATCCCTTCACTTCCCTGTGCCGGCTCCTTTCCACAGCTGGATAACCAGCCCCAAGCGCATGGTCCCGGGCCACAGTCAGAATTGAGCCTCCCAGGACCCACCAAGCACCTGCGTTCCCAGCTGGCACAATGCAAACAACGCTATCAAGATCTCCAGGAGAAGCTGCTGATATCAGAAGCCACTGTGTTTGCCCAGGCCAATCAGCTGGAGAAGTACAGAGTCATGTTCAGTAAGTCTTGACTTCCTAATCACCAAAGTGCTTGTCTTCTGCCGGAGAAGCTACATGCTTTGCAAACTTCACTTTTCTGCCCCAACCTGAAAAGAACCCAATCTTGACCATGGTCCTAGAATTGTGGAAGTGGCTATTTAATTTAATTTGCAGAGGGCAGAGAAGAATGTTTGCAGTGTGAGTATCGGGAGGAATCTCCCAATTGTTTCTTTTTTGCTTCTCTTTGCACCACATTAGATTCTTCAAAAATATATCATCACACTTGGTCTAGAATCAGTGCTTTCCTATAGGACTTCCTGCAGTGATGGAAATGTTCTGTGTCTATATCACATGTGGTTATTGAGCACGTGAAATCTAGCTAGTTCAAGTTGGGAATTTTAAGTTTTACTTAACTTTAATTGATTTAACATAAAATAGTCACATGTGGCTAGTAGCTACCTTATTGGATAGTGCAGCTATAGATGTCTTGGGATTCTAAATTAGTTCAGCTCTGTTGGAATATTTACTGAGCTTCTGTGGATAAGGCGCTTGCTAGTTGCCCTGGGGCTTCTAGAGATAAGAGGATGCAGTACCTGCCTACAGGTGTCTAGTCCCAACTGAGCCCAGGTTGTCTGTAGGGACACCATCAGCGGTGAAGGGAGGCTCGTCCTGGCGGAGGAAGTCCTGCTGCCTGGAGAGGGTGGTCTCTTCTACCACAGGCGTCCAAAGAAGCACCTGCTCCACTCTGGATCTGACCTCTCGCCCCCAGGGGCTAGTGTATGTGCCACTGAGTATGTGAGAATCTCAGATGCCCTGTGACACCCTCTGTCTCCTCCAAGCAGGTGAATCCTCGGTGAAGCAGGTCAGCAGGAAGGTTCAGGTGGACCTCCAGGACCTGGGCTACGAGACCTGTGGCCGAAGTGAGAATGAGGCTGAGCGGGACGAGAGTACCAGCCCCGGTGAGAGCATACACGTGGGTGCACCTTCCCTCCCCAGAGTCAGCGTTCACATCTGGGTGCTGTTGGCCAGGCTCCCACCTGATGAGCAGGAGGGGTGGGGGGTAGACTAGTAGACTGAAGAGGGCACGGGAGCAGAGAGGGAAGGGAAGTTTGGAGGAAAACTTTTTAAAAGATTTTATTTATTTATTTTTACAAAGGAGGGAAGGGAGGGAGAATGAGAGGGAGAGAAACATTGACGTAAGAGAGAAACATTGGTCAGCTGTCTCTCATAAGTACCCTGACAGGGGACCAAACTTGCAACCTAAGAATGTGCCATGACTGGGAATCGAAACAGCAACCTTTGCTTTGCGGGATGACACCTAACCAACTGAGCCACCTGGTCAGGAAAGGAGGAAAACTCTTGCCCAAGATGAGGCTTATTGTGAGTTTGAATTTCTAGAATTAGTTTCCAGCATACTTCTGTTAAAGAAAGAACTGTTCTAGCCAATTGATTTTTATAGAAAAAATACCAAGTCTTACTTATTAATGAAAAGACCAAATGAGCTTTTGGGAATATGTAAATCATAAGTTAAAATTGTTTCTCTATTATAAAAGGACTTTGACTGTAGGGGCACCCTCCAAGCTGAAAATCTCACCACTGAGTAACACAGAGGGTGACCGTACCTGCCTCCAGGGCTGTTGGGAGGACGACAAGTGCTGTATTTGAGTGCTGTATTTAGTCCGGTGCCAGGGCTGAATACCGTACTGCTTCAAGGGTCGCTGTCGTAATTACTGACCAAACCTGCCTCCCCTTGAAGGGAGAGGCTTTGGTAGCATGACCAGCTTTATTCAGGAAGATGTCTTTGTCTTTCCTCAGAGTGTGAGGAGCACGACAGCCCCAGGGAGACAGTCCTCATGGAGGGGCTGTGCTCTCAGCAGGAGCGCCTGGGCTCCACACTGGCCAGTCCCCCGGGGAAGAAGCCCTTGGAGAGCCAGCTGGGAAAGCAGGAGGAGTTCCAGGCATATGGAAAGTCAGAAGACATCTCTGTCCTCCATAAGGACATCAGAGATCTGAAGGCCCAGCTACAGACCGCCAACAAGATCATTCAAAACCTCAAGAGCCGGGTCCGATCTCTCTCAGTAACAAGTGATTATTCGTCCAGTCTGGAGAGACCCTGCAAGCTGAAGGCCATTGGCACCCTCGAGGGATCTTCACCTCATAGTGTCACTGATGAGGATGAGGGGTGGCTGTCTGATGGCACTGGGGCTTTCTACGCCCCAGGGCTTCAGGCTAAAAAGGATCTGGAGAGTCTGATCCAGAGAGTGTCCCAGCTGGAGGCCCAGCTCCCGAAAACTGGACTAGAAGGGAAGCTGGCTGAGGAGCTGAGATCAGCCTCGTGGCCTGGGTAAGGGGGACGCTTACATGACTGATGATGTCTGAGTTTGTGCTCGAAGTAGGGTAGCCAGGCAGGTAGAAGAGAAAACCCATCAGGGCGCTCACTTCAGTGACTGACCTAGGTCTGAAGCAAGGACACCGAAGCAACCAGCAGGGCACTGGAGGGTGGCCCTGTCCTGGAGAGGCCGGCTCTCCAGATTCCCCCCAGGAACACATTAGTGAGGTGACAGGACATGCAGCGTCACAGTGAGACAGGTCAGACGGCCCGGGTGTGGGTCCTGGCTCTGGCACTTACCAGCTGTGCAGCCTACTTAGTCTTTCTGAGCCCATTTTCTTATTTGTTAATAAGTTCTCTTGAGAATATAAGAGAAGTTATATCAAAGGGTAGTTATTAGGATTTAGTGAATTAATACAAGCACTTACAATAATGCCTGGCATATGCAGGGTCCGGCAAAAGTAATGCCTGCTTGAGTGTGGTTGGTAATCATTTATAACTTTAATTTGAACAGTTCACCGAAAATATCATATGGTGTGCTCGAGTGTGGTATTGTTATGTTATAGAATTAGGTGCTTATATGATTTTATAATAAAAAAGGGGCATCATTTGTGGCAGACCCTCTATTAAGCTCTCAGTACTATTTGCCATAATTCTTACTGTTCTCGATACTTTGTGTTGAAAAACACTGGGTAGATAGCCACCCAGCATCTGTCCTGGTGATCTGTGCTGAGTAACAAACCAGCCCAAAATTTAAACAATAACTATGTGCATTGACTGGGCCCAGCTGAGTGGCTCTCGCTTGGGGGTCTCTCATGTTGGCTGCCATCCGTGGGTGGAGAGGGCTGGAGTCATCTGAAAAGTCTGGCTGGGCCGGACAGGGCTTCTTCACCGACAAGTCTGGTGACTCTGCTCCTTGGCTCCTTTCTCTCCATGTGGCTTCTGTGCCCAGGCCAGAAGCCACATGGAGCCACATGGCTTGGGCTTCTCAAAGAAGAGTGGTCTCAGGGTAGTTTCACTTCTCTGTGGCAGCTGGCTTCCAAGAGACAGGAAGTGCAAGTTGCCGGGCCAGGTAGGGGCTACTCTGGATGTGGCCCAGTGTCACTTCCACCATATTATTTGGTTGAAAGTCATCACAGGGCCCAGCCAGATTTAAGGAAATGGAGAATAGCCTTTACCTGCCGACAAAAGAGCAGCAGAGCCGAGGGGTGACGGAATGGGAGCTGTGTAATGGCCGTCTTTGTGATACAGTCTGCCATTCATACAGATGGTCTTAGGGACAGAGCACATGACAGGTCCTCTCCAGATTTAGGATTCAGTGAGTCTACTCGGTTTAGTTTTAGTGTTTACTTAGTACTTGCTCAATAAGTATGCTTCGTATTTATTAGTATCACCTGAGTCCACACTATGCTGGCACTGTAGGGGCGTAAAAGCTTATGGCTGTCTTTCCCCCACAGAACTTATGATTCACTTTCAGTCATATGACTAACATGTACAGAACGGTGTCATAAACTGTTTAGTGCAATGGTTTGTCAGAGCAGAATTTATTCTGAAACACTTGTCCTTTTTGGCTTATGTGCCAGAATCCCCCAAGGGGGAGATCCTTAGAGTTTTCTCACAGAAGTCTCATTGGAAGCCCCAATAACCTATCACTCACTCTTTGCCATTTTTACTCTTTCCTCTTCATCTCTGCATTAGGAAATATGATTCCCTGATTCAGGATCAGGCCCGAGAACTATCCTACTTACGCCAGAAAATACGAGAAGGGAGAGGTGTCTGTTACCTTCTTGCCCAGCATGTAAAAGACACAGTAAAATCTTTTGAGGATCTCCTACGGAGCAACGACATTGACTACTACCTGGGACAGAGCTTCCGGGAGCAGCTCGCCCAGGGGGGCCAGCTGACCGAGCGGCTCAGCGGCAAGCTCAGCACCAGTAAGTTGGCCACAGGGCTCTGGGACACTCAGTCACTGTCAGAGCCCCAGGCCTAGACACCTCCACCGCAGCCTTTTCATTCAGCATCCAGGTTTCACTTCATTCACCGGGGCCATTACAGGATCAGGCCTGAAAGTAAGAATGGCAGGAAGCAGGCAGTGGAACACACAGGGCTGGAGAGGCCTCGATTACCACTGTAGGGACGGCAGCATGGTGGAATGTGACCGTCAGGGAGGGGGGCTGCTGCATCCACTGGCACTGCGTCCAGTGCTAGTGGGGAGAAAGGGAGATGAGATCAGCGGCCTTGTGATAGTGAAAAGAGCCCTGAGCTTAGAACTGCAATACCCAAGTTCTAGCCTGGAGCTGCCATGAACTCGCTTTGGGCAAATGACTTATCTTTTTGGTGTCTCTCTTTCTTTATTTATTGCATGGTATCATACATGAATGTAATTCAAATATCCAATAGCTAAAGCACCATGCCCTTTAGGACATGGTTTAGGTGTGATTGTCATAGTCCAAGGGCTAGGAATGTTGGTTATTATTGGAGGTCTTCGCTTAGAACTTCCTGGGTACAGCACAGATCAGTCTTCGGGGCCAATAAGGTGGGACTGGGCTGTTACTCACCTTAGGCAAAGAGTAGACTCTACAGGAAAGCTGGGATGGGATACCAGCTGTACGACTGGCAGTCAGTGTAGGGCAGACTTGGACACTGGATTATTCCAGAGGGAAGCCGGGCAAGGGCCTTTTGAACTTTTTCGTATTGATTCAGGGCAGAAGTCATGGTGGCCATCCCCACACCCAGACAGCCTGCCCAGTGAGCTCAGGAAGCCTGCAGGTCTCTTCTCTAAAGATACACTGTGAGGCCTCCCAGAATAATTCTCCCACCCCTGCTGGACCCACACAGAGTAATCCTTACTCTCTACACAAATAGCCTTCTGCGTTTATAATGTGCAAAGTGGGACCTGCCTAATTTTTTTACTGTTTGTTTTCTGAATTTGGTTTGCAGAAGATCATAAAAGTGAGAAAAATCAAGCTGGACTTGAGCCTCTGGCCCTCAGGTAATTCAAACGGGATCTGGTCAGGGGATAAGGAACAAGGCCCAAGGAGTTCAGCATGGCTGCAGCTTCACAAATGGGGGCGGGCGGAGGAGGAGATGCTAGTTGTAATGAATTTGTTTATTCATGGAATACTTCACTACTGTTTTTAACCTAATTCTTTACTGTCTTTTGATACAATTCTACTGATTTCTATTTGCATATTTATTCTTCAGGCTTGGTTACATAGAGGCGGCCTGATTAAAAGTGAACTAACCAGATTTTGGGGGGTCCTTATCACCCCAAGGGTCTCCTCTGCTCTCCTCCTCGTATATTTATTTACATTTTAAACTGAATTTATTGGAGTGACACTGGTTCTTAAAACCATACAAGTTTCAAGTGTGTAACTCAGTAAAACATCGTCCGCCCACTGCATCGTGCGCCTGTTTTCCCAGGCAGAATCTCTTCCCCCCACCCCATGAGTTTAAAGACCAGGCTGTACTTTTTCACCACGTTGGCTTTCCCCCCGTGAAGTTGGCAGCTAGTTTAAAGCCCCCCAATTTCCTTAGGAAAAAATAATTATATCACAGTTCCTAGTGAAAAAGGCCTAGACATTGATGATCCCTGGGTCACCACGGTGCCTTAGAAACCAGTTTTCAGTGAGTCGCTGCATACAGCCCTGCACTACACAATAAAATATGGGCCCAGGGTTGTAGCCACTAGTTTGGGACACTTGTGTCATGAGTGTGCTTTCACCATACAGTACTTCTCAGAATACCGTGGTGGCGGACAAAGTGTTTTGGTTTTGCTTTTATTTTCATTTCTAATCTGTCAGACACACATGTGGTCTGTCTCTCATCATCCGGATGAGTTCACTCACTGTACTCTTGGATGTTAAGGCAATGCCAAACTGCTGTATGTTTCTCAGTGCTTACCTTCATTTCTATACTCATCTTGTTGGAGGCAGGTAACCACTCAGGCTGCAGCCATCATGGGGACCATACTTTAAGCAGCAATATACTTACAGGACTAGCCCAGTCTCTGCTAGTCCTCAGCATATCATGTGGCCAGTGCACTGGGTAGCTATTGCTTCCCTCCCTCTGCACCCCACCTACTCCACACCCCTAGTCAGAGGTGGGTTATTTAGATTATTCTCTGCAGAAATGGTCCCCTTGACTTCTGTGGCTTTTCTCATGTGCCTCAGTGGAGGCCAGGTGGTCTGGTGACCTTGATTTCACCTGTTGTCCTCCCTCACCTCACTAGGCTAAGCAGGGAGCTGCAGGAGAAGGAGAAAGTGATTGAAGTTCTGCAGGCCAAGCTGGATGCGCGCTCCCTCACGCCCTCCAGCAGCCGCGCCTTGTCCGACTCCCACCGCTCTCCCAGCAGCTCCTCGTTCCTGTCTGACGAGCTGGAAGCCTGCTCTGACATGGACATAGCCATCGAGTACACACACTATGAAGAGAAGAAAGCTTCAGCTGGTCACCCAGGTAGCCTCCACTGTCCAAGTGGCACCAGCTTTATCTAGGCTGAGAGGAGACCTCCATAACCAGGCCTTACAGATCCACCTCGGTGAGGCTCAGGCTGAACATGGCCCTGAGACCAAGGGCCAAGCACAGGCCCCAGTGGGTCAGGATCTTTGCTGTGCTCCTGACTCTGCAAGTGACCACTGTCACCAGGTCTCCACGGCACAGCATGTGCACGCTGTTAGACGCAAGGCGAACCCCAGTGGGGAGAGGAGGAAGCTCATAGCGGACTTTTCTTCCCCACTGCCTCCTAAGCACAGAATCTGCCTGGCTGACCTCCTTCTCTGAGATGGGACACCGGCTCCTTCCTGTAGTAATCTTGTTGGGTGCAGCTCCTGAACAGCACCCCACAGACGCTGCACGCTGGCCTTATACTATAGGAGGTGCATTTTCCTGGTTTCAGGGCTCTCTGCCCCACGTCACCTCTAAGGTGGCTTGCCTCACGAAGGGAGCTGTCTGTGCATAAGGAAATGAACCCTGCTCACAGTGCTTGTGCTTGGTGCTTTCCCCGAAAGCGAGGCTCCTTCCCGTTACCCCTGGTTAACTGTCAGGCCAGATTCCAGTTCTCTGTGGAACATCATTTTCTTTCATTCACGGGTTTTGTAGATTCCATCCATCATTCAAGTCATTCTGCCGTACTGTCTTCTAATCCATCATCAACCACCACCCCTCCGGGGGCTAAGGCCGAACCGAGCCGCAACCCTGTCAGCTTGCCTGCTCCCCAGAACCGCCCCCAGGAGGCCAGCCAGGTCCACCCAGGTATGCACCCGTCAGCCGGCAGGGGCCTCATCTCCTCTCCCCCAGCTGCCTGTTTGACTTTTCTTCGGGGACAGATGTTTCCACTCTTGGGGGCTTATTTGAAGAGACCATCCTCACTCGCTGTGTCTGGCTTTTCATTGTTTGAAACATTTTAGAAAAATCAGTAATCCACAACAGACTTTGAGATCCCTGCCAATTCTGATCAGCAGTTAGCTAATGAGCATTTTCATTTCCTTCTCTCATTTCCCCCTGGAGTGCGAAGGGGCAAAATGTTTCTCCCAAGACTATAGTAGCCAAAGGAAAAAAAAGAAGTTCACGCCTACTGCTCCCCTGTCCATGTCACCCATTTTATCTGTGCCGTAGCCTCGCAGTAGGGCAGCTCGTACTTCCTGGCTGAGGAGCCTCAGTATCCTCAGACAAGATTCTGTTCTTTCGGGATTTATGAATGGGTTGGCAGTCCCTGAACATTTACGTGGTGCGTATCCTGGGGCCAGTTAGAAAGGTACATTTCACTTACCTGCCTCAGCGCAGGCGCAGGGGTGCGCTGTTTAATCACAGGTCTGCACCAGCCATGGTGCAGGGAAAGGGCAAACCTTGTCTTGCCTTCCCACTCCCAACCCCCACTGGCCGCTGTCTTCAGGGTGGTGTGCGGTGAGGTCAGATTTGTGCAGAGGTGACCTCAGAAAGCACAGTGCTTCCTTCTGTCACACCTGTCTCTCCTGAGAACAAGTCTGCCCAAATCTTAAGGGGCGGGATGTGTCTTCCTGAGCCTGGCCTCAAGTTTCTCTGTCACAGTGAGCAGTAGCCGGACCAGGAACCCCTGGGGAGAGGCTGCTCACCTAGCGTGGTAGACATCTGCAGAAACGCGCTGGGGCCAAACAGAGCAGAAGGCCAAGGGTTTCAGAGTCAGAATGCCTCCCTGAAGGGTGCCTGGGCTGTGTCACTTGGCAGTTCGGGCGTCTCTGCAGTACTGCTCTGATACTGTGTCAGCGTCCTGGGCCAGTGGGTATGATTTCGAATGTGATCATCCTCTTCCACATGAGACATTCTCCACATGTGACTCTTAGTGTCTGCTCCCTCCCTGGAATGCCTGCCCTGTAACTGTTCTTAGGGAAGAAGAGACAGATTCAGACGTCAGAACTTCCCAGGTTCCTAAAGACCTTTCTATAGGTGAGCCGCATAATGACACCCTGCAAGGATTCGTTTCAGTGCAAGTTTCCAAGCTCTCCTCCCAGAGTTTGTGGTTCAGTAGGTCTGCACTGGGTCTCAAAGAGTCTGTGTGTGTGAGGAACTTTCCCCAATTGATACGAATGCCCAGACAGGTTTGTAAGCCCCTTTGTCCATGTCTCTTTGTGGAGGCCTCTATTTTTCATTTGGTGAATGAACATATGGCTTTGGATTCTGAAATCTGTTTCCATCAGAGTCTTGAATTGCATGCTTTCATAATGGCAGATGTTTCCACTCTTGGGTGGCCCTGGCAGGGGAGAAGGAGGAAGGGCCCGCCAGGCCAGCCTCCTGGGTAGCAGTGCTCACCCTTGGCCATGGCAGTGGTCACTCTTAACTGTCCCAGGCAGCACCATACTGAGTGACAGTCACTTCCCAAGGAGACATCTGGTGAGGGAATAGTTTTTATCTTCTACATCTTTTACCCATTCCTTTCTCTCCCTTTCCCTCTAATGATGTCTCGACTTTCTCCCGAACTTTCTGTTTCCAGGCCTTCATTCTCCCTCCATCCCCACGCTGGTTAGCCTCCCCCAGGCACCGTTGCCCTCAGCTCCACCCGGCTTCCTGCCTTTCTGCTCCACTGGCCCTCCCCTCCTTGGCTGCTGTGAGACACCCGCGGTCTCCTTGGCCGAGGCGCAGCAGGAGCTGCAGATGCTGCAGAAGCAATTGGGAGAAAGTGAGCACTTCCGCCGATTTGTGTGCTTGCGAGTGGCAGCCCTCTCCCCGACCCCCATGTGGCTCTGCATGGCTTGGTGGCAGTTTTCCCTAAAAGCAGCCTAGGGTCACATATTATCAGTGGATGGTGGCAGGATAACTCTGCTTGCTTTTTTTTTGTAAATGTATTTACTGTTGTCTTTCTGGGGTGTGCGTCTCATCTGTTCACTAGGCCCTAGACCCGGTGCCCCTCCCTCCACTGCCAGTGTAGAACACCCGCAGGTGTGCTGAAAGCCTGACACGCCAGTGACGTGCCGGCTGGCCGGGCGAGGTAGACAGCTTTGAGCCCAGCCCGTGGACGATGAAGCGGCCGTGACAAAGATGGCCGTGTTCCGTGGGACCCTTCCCGTGGCCGTTGTATCTTCCTGCTGTGAAATGCTTTAAACCGAGTCTGCATCCTGACATCCTCAGGCGTGAGCCACAAGAGGTGGTGGTAGAGGGATTCAGGAGAGGTGACAGCCCGTCCTCCTAGTGCACAAGGTTCATTTCTGCCCCTGGGCAGCGGCCACGTGGGCAACTAGAACCAGAAGCACAGCTGTGGTGTCTGCTGTGAATTCTGCCCTCTGACCCACAGAGAGCTGGGGTTACGTAGTCACAAATGCATGAATTCGTAAACTGTGTGCAGGCACGTTTTAGAAAAGGGCTCAGTGTGTGTGTGGGCTAGATGCCTCATCATAAAATTATTTTTGTGTTTGGTCAATTATAGCTTAGAAAAAATTAGAAAAGAACCTTACACAATTCATTTGCTGTCTAGTGGCACTTTAAAAAATGACAGAAAGCAGTTTGCAACTACCTTAAAACGAGTTTGTGCCTCCCGAGAAGCTCAGGCGAGCCGGAGACTGATGTAAGGATCGCCACACAAAGGGAGTCCAGTGACCTAAGAACACACCGAGAATTTGTGTGTCTCAGCCCTCAAATGTCATTTGGACCAGATTATTTCTTTTGTCAACCCTGAAAATGGAAATCCCTGTTTGATTTTCAGAACCAGGCAGACTAACGCCACTTTTAGGAGACTTTGCACATCTTCTTTCTGCAGACAGTGAGTCCGAGGGGCTACCTTTTGCTTATCCACTCACATAAGTACAGCAGTCCAGGCTTACATAGCGACATGAACCTGGTCTTACCTGAGCCTCACACAACTCGCATGATAGGGAGAGCCAGAGAGGGGACCTAAGGCTCAAGGAAGTGAAGCTGCTTGTTCAAGGTCACTAGTAAGTAGGAGGGAAGGGCCCGAATCTGGGTCTTCTTCAGAGCATGAGCCGAGCTCAGCTGAACAAATTCTCGAGGCCCCTTGTAACAGTTTTCTTTCTCTCTCTTCAGAGGTCAGTGGAAAATGCTGGTGTGTCTGACCTAGAACTTACTGCTGTAGCAGTTCTGGAACCAGCCACTGACGGATAACAACTTTGCCCCATGCCAAAATGGCAAGAGAGTTCTCCAGCCTACTTTTTTCCCCTTTACCTTCCCACAGCTGTCCGCTGTCCAAAGGGGAACACAATAGGAGAGCGCTGCATAAAAAGGGGCCTGGTGATGTGGGCTGACGTCATATCTAGTCTGAGGTGTTGACCAGAGTTGCGGTGGTCCCAGCATTCATGAGAAACACTATAGCCCTTTCTTTGCCCGCCTGAGATGTGGTCTTCTTTGAGGGACCATCGGTCATGAGCTCTCCTTTCTGCGTTGAACAAGCTCCCACATGGACAGTGGTGTGTGGCAGGCTCTCAGGTCAATGCGGGGCTAAAATCTCCAGCAAGAGTCTGTCTGGGGTCTTTGTGGGGCTGGTGGACTGTGCTCTGCATTGTGCGGCCAGGGAGACTGGGAGTGAGAACACCTTGGACCCTCCGTGACCTTGGTTAGAAAGTAAGTGACCATCAATGGCTCCTTTCCCCCTTTGCCTTGTCGGGGCCAAAGTGGGTAGGAAATCACATCTTTATTGTATCCCAAGTAAAATTCAGAGGCTTACATGTTTCATCCTCTTCGCAATGTAAGACCCCACTGCAGGGATTTGCTAAAAATCTGTATTTTGCAAACTGGGGAAGGGAAGACCCATGACAATGCCTCTCAAATTTTGCTGCCTGTTAAAGCCCCCTGAGATGATTTCAAAACACCCAGTGCCCACGCCATACCCAGTACTGATTACGGCAACATCTCTGGGGGTCCAGTCATCAGTATATTTATATATTTCTACATTGTCCCAAGTACTTCCAATACGTAGGCAAATTTGAGAACCAGCTACAAATGGAGATAAAAACTGGCAAGTGCCGATGGCATCAACCCCTCAGGGGGAGTCTGGCTTGGCTGGAGGAGATCTGACCTCACTGGTGTTTGCTTAAGTGGAGCTACCTGTTTACCCTGCTGCCTGTGTATATATCCCTGGAAGAAAGCAGTCATATGAGTACGAATAACCCAAACTACAGGCCTGCCCGGCTCTCTCTGTCTCTCCCCAAGCTGAGCCTCTTTCTGCATAGAAGCCGAGGTGATGGGGCTCAGGGAAGGCGCATGCTTTCCCAAGACCCATGAAAGCATCAGTCTAAGAAAGGAAAGGCCCCCGCCCCCCCTCTGTGGAAGAGTCTTCAGTGACCCTTCAGACAGGAGTGATGAATCACGTTGGGTGAGGTCCCAGTCACCGCTTGTCTGCCACAGCGCCTCCCCCAGACTCAGCAAAGAGTTCTTCAGTCTGGAGGAACTGGGGTGACCACGTCTACCTGGATCTACTGTGCCTTTCTCCTCCGACAGCCCCAGAGGAGAAGGGGGGAAATGATCGGTCAGCTTCTGGGGAAGGCAGGTACCCAGAGGCCAACAAAACATTCCTGTTCCCAGTGCGCTCTGTGCTCTATCCTGCCACGCCCTCGTGCCCTGACTTGGGGAGTCGGTTCTACCCCAAAACTGTGATCTGTAGGGATCACAGCAGGAGCCAGGAGTGGGCCACTGGGCTTCTCTTTTGTTTTCACTGGTGACTTGCAGGTACTTTATCCGTTCCCTGCCTCTTGGTGTCTCCGGATGGCAAATATGTGACGTCCAGATTGTGAGTCTCCGTCTAACTGGTGTGCACAGTGGGCTGCATTACCTCTGACATCCCACGCGTCCCCTTCAGTGTCCATTCTTAGCAACCACACGCTTCCCCTCTGGTGCCGTTCTCACCCGTGTTCCTTTCTGCCCAGGTGTCAGCACCGGTCACCCCGCCTCCCCAGCCACACTGCGGAGCAACCATTCAGAAGCCAGCTCTTCCCACCACCTGAACGCTGCCCAGCCCCCCTCTCCTCCAAGGGGCACCCTAGAGCTGGGCCGAATCCTGGAGCCTCAGTACCTGGGCAGCAGCGGCCAGTGGGATATGATGAGGCCGCAGAAAGGAAGCGTATCCGGGGACCTCTCCTCGGGCTCCTCCGTGTGCCAGCTGAACTCCAAACCCACAGGTAAGAAAAGAGATCCCGTTCAGAGTCTCCCCCTTTGCTCCCCAGGCTTTTTTCCTGTCTTCTCTACCCCTGGCTCAGAGTGGGCTTGAAATGAAGGGGTGTGGCTGTGCTCCCAGCGGCCTTCATCCTTCCCGCCCAGGGCCTCCTGCTGTGCAGTGAGGAAAGTCAGCCCCCCCTCCAGCACTACTGTGCTCTCACATTCACGCCCTCTCTCCCTGCATCCTGAGCCCAACAGCCACTCCAGGACCTTCCTGAATGCGCGGTGCCAGCACTCCCAGGACATTCTTCCGGCAGTCAGAAATCGCTACAGAGACGGTGGCTGTTTCTGCATAGCTCCCACCCCACAAATATGCCCTGAGCAGAACACCCAGCTCAAACTTGCCCTCTCACTTCCACCGTCCCAGTCAGGGCAGGGGGCCGCTGCACCACAAGGGCAGGTTAGTTAACTCAGGTGAACGACAGTAGGACGATTGTCAGTTTCAGAAAAAGACAGAGCCCGAAGCAAAATGGTGCAGGGGCTGTAGTCTGTCATTAGCAGCCTTCCCACTTCTGGTTTCTGCATCTTTTATCCTTTCCTTGGGGGCACTTCTTCCTCTTCTCTCAGAGCACTCGGGGTTGTCCTTCCGTGTCCTTCCCATTAAAGGTGACGGGAGGGCAGCATTCAGGGCCATTAACCACACGGGGTGAGTTTATGTTCCTGACATGTGACCTGAGGCCTTCTCTCAGAGGGGGGGAAGAGCTTTGTTTCTTGCTAAGCAATGTTTGATCAAGTATCAGTAAGAGGAGAGGTATCAGAGTAGCCTGAGACCTTCCCTGTCACACCCAAAGTCACAGTCAGGAGGCAGCCCCACCTTTCCAGATGCTAGTCAGGCCCTGTCCACAGACTTCAGTTATCTTCCTAAACCATGTGGAACTGTCTTACACTCACTGCACACTTACACTATTATCTCCCTTGCACTTAGCCCTGTGTGGGAGGAAGCCACTGGGCTTGCTATTAAGCACCTGGCTGTCCTGTGTTTGAAATTGTCCTGTGTTCCTGGGTGCCCATGTGAGAGGGTGCCGTTGGCACAAGAATAATGGTGATGTTTAGGAATCTTGCTGAGAGGCCAGTGGCCCCGCCCCCACCTACCCCACCCCACCCCAAATGGGCCCCATCTGTGACCAGGATTCTCCATCTCCCACCTCTCTCCTGTCCTGGTGGGTGACTGCAGGGGCTGACCTGCTAGAGGAGCATCTTGGTGAAATCCGGAACCTGCGCCAGCGCCTGGAGGAGTCCATCTGCATTAACGACCGCCTGCGGGAGCAGCTGGAACACCGGCTCAGCTCTGCTGCCCGCGGAAGCGGTAGGACAGGCCCAGGGCGTCCTGTTTCTGGTCAGAACTGGGGAGTTCTGGAGGGAGGGCCCTCAGGCAGAGCTTTGCAGTATTCGAAGCACGGTGGTCTGTGTTTGCTCCCTGCAAACAGCCCAGCAAGGCAGCTGGGCAAGTACCGTTACCCTTGCTTGGACGATGTAGGGAAGCTCAAAGAGTAACTCTCCTCGGGGCAGAACCAGCAAGGTCCGGCCCAGAGCCCTCTGACTTCTCATCCCAGTCTTACTCTGCTCACCTACTTCCTGCTGACCCCTCTGCACCCTTGTCATGTGGATGACAAGTGAGAGAGTCAGGTCTCAGAGATGCTCCCCCAGCCACTTACCAAGGTGGCCTTCCCCCCACTCTCCCCACAGGTGCAGTCACTGGGGTGCCATTCCTTCCACACACCTTGTCCTGCCCACAGCTCAGCAGCAGCTATTTAGGGGAACGTGCCCCCCTAAAGACTGCAGCACAGGTGTGATAATGCAGCAGAGAACCCTGCCCCCCCACAGGAGGACATGAAACCAGGCCTTCAGCCCGCACTGGCCTTTAGGCCCAGGACTCGAGTCCTCGGGGTTTTGTGCTGGGTCAGGACAGTATCTTTGGAGACACAGAGGGGGCATCTTCTGACAGCGCCTGTTACCCAGTTGCATAACTTGACTGCTTGAACTTTCTGGAACAGGAACCACCTCTACCTTCTGCAGCCAGGGCCTGGAGTCCACACCTCAGCTGTACAATGAGAACAGAGTCCTTAGGGAGGAAAATCGGAGCCTTCAGGCTCAGCTGAGTCGCATTTCCAGAGGTAGGTGGTTAAAAGCCCCAGCTGTGATTACTCTTGCATCCCTTTCTTCCCTGGCCACACCAATTACCGATTGGAGAAGCAGAGGAGTTGGACATAACCGCTGCCCAGGTCCAGCAACCCCAAATTTCTACAGCTGTTCTCCATCTGGAAAGGGCTGCTCCTGAGAGGTGCCCACGATGGGCCCTCAGACTCCTAGGCTCCAGGACAGGCAGCTGTAGGAAACCCACCACTTCTGTGCAAACTCACCTGCAGGTATGCAGTCATTAGCTCTCACAGTGGGTGCCACCTGGGTATCTGTTCTGCCTCCTCCAACTCACAGCTGATTTGGAACCAGGAGAGGAAGGACATGAGTTGCTCCAGACTTTCTGCAGCTCTGTGTATCCCACCCCCGGTAGAGCTGCCATCCCTATGTCACTTCACCACGTCCCCTCCCTCATCAGCAAGCTCCTCTCTGGTCAGGAACCCTCGTGACCCTGTATCTGGAGGTGCTGGCACAGTGTCCTCCAGCACTTTCCTAACTCCGCACTGGCACCCACGGGTGGGTGTCATTTCCTGTGTGGCCTGGGGCACAGCTGACCTTGGTGTTAACTGACTTGCTCCAATCACTATATCATCAATAATAAATTATTTTTATTTACATATGTTCATTGAATAGCCATAAAAGATTAAGAATAGTGTCAAAAGGATCAAGTCCAGAATGCGTGAATGCTAGTGGAAAAGGAAAAAGTTAATTAATAGAGTTTTCTGAATTAGCCGTTGCAGAGTGAGGAGATGTGAGAGGAAAGCTCACTGTTCGGGGAAGGTAACAAAGTCAACAGATAAGAGAGAAGGCACAACCACTGAACTACCATTGAGTGTCCGGAAGGACTAGAATGGGCCTCACAGGTGAGAAGACAGTGAGAGATTTAAATGAGTGCAGTTTGCCAGGCCCCAGAAATTCCACCCCAGAGGACCGATGGTGCCTGCAGTCCTATTTTCAGAGTCCTTATCAAGACTCTTTAAGAAATCATGAAGATGAGAGAGTTGCCACAAGGCTAGAACTGATGGCCCTTTTTTCAAAATGATGGCAATAACATATCCTAAAATCTGCAGACAGGAAGTCTTGATTCAAGGGTGGATTATTGCACAGAGGGTTGTGAGCACTTAGAAAATACTGAGTGTTGGAAACTAGAATGTTTTCTCTAACAGCAAGGTAGACCCTATTAAATCAGAGGATCAGGCACCACGATGACAGAGGCCTCCCTTCCCCAGGGCATGTGGACACAGTGAGCCCACACTCTGTGCCTTCCTGGCTCCTTTTGTCGTAGTTCTGTCTGTCAGATTCGATGTGCTTGGGCTCCCCTTCCCGCTGACCTGTGCCCCACAACCTGAATGCGCTGTGTTCTGCTCACCAGAGCACGCCCAGGAAACGGAGTGCCTGAGGGAGGCCCTGCTGGCCTCGAGGTCCCGGCTGCAAGAGCTGGAAGTGCAGCTGGAGCACCAGAAGGTGGACCGGCAGCAGCTTTTGGAAGACTTGAAGGAGAAGCAGCAGGAGATCGTGCATTTCCAGGAGGAGCGACTATCCCTCCAGGAGAAAGACTGCAGGTCAGAGGGAGCCCACCAATAAGGAAGGTGGCCCCAGTTTCAGATTTCGAAGAAGGGTTAATGGCCCCTTAGGAAACCTCAGTTTCCCCTGTGCTGTCTCTGACTTATGGGTGACCGAGCAGAAGGAAGGACTTCTCTGGGATGGCCCCTTCCCTCTGAAGTTGAGAGTTAAACTTCTATACCAGCGGTGAAGCCTGTCCCCAGTGTAAACTCTTTAAGTGCCTGGCAGCATGAAAGGAGCACTTTGGGGGCAGTGAGAATTGGCGGCAGTGTTGGTGTGTCCTAGCCAATGCAGCTAATGACGTGGCTCCGAGCAAAGCTGCTTTACCTCCCTGAGCCTCTGTTCCCACGTCTATAAAATCAAAGTCGTGGTCTTCACGACCCCTGAGTTGGTAGCTAAGCCTAAGACTTTATGAGGCAAAGGCTGGCTCACAGCACAGCGTGTTGCCCTGGTGCGGCCAAGTGGCTGCCCCAGCTCAGCAGGACCTCTCCCCAGCAGGCTACAGCACAAGCTGGCCCTCCTGCAGCAACAGTGTGAAGAGAAACAGCAGCTCTTCCAGACCCTCCAGTCGGAGCTGCAGATCTACGAGGCACTTTACGGCAATTCCAAGAAGGGGCTGAAAGGTATGTGTTCGCCCGGCTCCCCCACCCTGTGTGTCACATCCCAGTGAAGTCCTCATGACCTTGGGAGTTTAGAGAGCTTGGAAAGCTACAAAGTTCTGTCTCAGAAAAAGATGCCCAGACCTGGGGCTTCCAATAAAAAGAGAGGGGAGCACCCATACACAAAGCCCAGAGTTGGGTGCCAGATTGAACTGAGACATCCTTGAAAATAGGCCATAAGAGTCAAACTTCACCCACCATCAAGGCCAAAACCCAGGTCATCAAAGTCCTGACTATACAGTGATGCTGCGTAAATACAAAGAACTGTGCCGGTGGTACCTGAAAAAGGCCTCAGACACGTCCCGACCACCGTGCAGCCCACGTGGCAGGCTCCCACTCGGACCCCTTCCCCAGCGAGAGAATTAAGATAGAAGAGTGTTTTTACGGAAATTCCACTAATGTGACTTAAATTTCAGTGCTGGGTTTAAATTTTAAATTCTTATTGAAGATGTTTGCCACCTACTGAAGTAATAAGTTTAGAAAGTCCTGAGCTTGATTTAAAAAAATCAGAGGTAGAAATATGGAGGTGGGGAAGCCGGGTCTGTGGCTATTCGTGGGCTCACGGAAGTGGAGCGGGGGCACCGAGACCAGCCACAGCTTTTGCAGATGAGGGAGTTAGGGAGACACACATTTCCACGAGGAAGTTGCAGACCAAGGCTGCTAGAAAAGCCAGTGCAGCCTCCGACCACAGCCGTGTGAGGTGGTGTCCCTGTGGGGAGACCATGTCAGGAATATTGTTAGATTATGGGCGCCATCGTAAGAGGCACATTGACAAACTAAGGAACATAATGAAGAAAGACATGGGCCACGAGGCTGAGGGACCAGAAATCTCAAACTGGTTGGAGAAATTAGATATTTTTCGGCTTGGAAAAGATCCTGAGGAGATGAGAACTGGCCTCAGAGATGAGAACTGGCCTCATGTATGTGAAGTGGAGAGGAGCTGACGTGTTTTGTGTCCCTTCAGAGAGCTGAACAAAGGGTGACAGAATTGGGGTCCACATAATTCAGGCTTGCCCTGTCCCTAGAGACTTCTAGTGATGGAATGGTTGGTTTGTGAGAGAGTAAGCTCCCCATCCAAGCCTCGTTTATTATTTTTTGAAGATTTTATTTATTTATTTTTAGAGAAAGGGGAAGGGAGAGAGAAAGAGAGGGAGAGAAACATCAATGTGCAATTGCCTCTCATTTGCCCCCAACCAGAGGGACCCGGCCCACAACCCAGGCACGTGCCCTGCCTGGGAATCAAACCAGAGACCCTTTGGTTTGCAGGCTGGAACAACCTGAGCCCAACCAGCCAGGGCTCAAGCCTTGTTTAAATAGGAAGGGATGCTCTGTCAGGTACTTGCTCTGCATGGGAGGTCGACTCCCTGAGTCTGTCAACTCCAGGCTGATTTTGATTGTATGTTTAAAAATTCCATGAGCAATATGGTGTATTATATTAAGAATTTTCACTATTGTGTGAAATTTGAATTTTCATAAAACCTGATTGAGTTTCCTAATTCTGCTGTTGAGCTAGAACTTGAGGAAATCTGGAGGGCACAGCAGGCTGAGCGGATGGCCCTGCACAGGGCACGGGAGTGTTGGGCCGGGAGACCCAGCTGCCTGCGGGAGAGCTTTGTGTCGGGAGGTGTGGGAAGTCAGGGTAGTGGAAAGGGGAGTTGGAAGACCTGTAAGGTAGGACGAAACTTTACCCTCTGTGAAGTAGGCGGTGGAAATGTGCTTGGCTTTTCCAAGCAAAATAGGTACATGATGGAAACAGAATCTTAGGATGGTCAGACTGGTGGAATATGCTGGAGTTGGAAGACCTTAGAATCAAGGAGACCTATTCAATGGGTGTAGTGATATTCTGGGCATTAAGTGATGAAAGTCTAATCGAAGTGCTATTGGGGAAAAAAGGGAGAATGGATAAGTGACATTTTAAAATAAGCAGAATATTGTGAGAATTTGAATATGGGGGAAAAGGAAGAGGGAGGAGCATCATGGAACTTTGGGGTTATCCTGACTCACCTCCTCTTTCATGCTTTTATCTGTTTTTATGAGCCTTTTAGAATTTATTTCAAAGCTACTACCACTAAAGCCCCATAATCCCTTTTTCTTAATTCTGTAATCTCATAAGAGCTCTGAATTGAAGTCTTTTTTTCCATTTTTTTTAGTTTTATTGTTGTTTGAACTCTTTTTCATATACTCATTTGGTGACAAAACCTAACTGAACTGACCAAAGTATATTTGTCATCTTTGTTCATCCCACTTAGTGAGAATATCCACATGCCTCCTTGCAGAAATACCACCGTGTCTGAGGACGTGCTGCGGCCCAGATGCAAGTGGGGGCCTGTGTTCTGTGGAGTGCATGGTAGATGCATTCCCTTGCCTTGCTAAAAACCAGAACAAATTCTACCTTTTCAGATACACTTGGCCCTAAAGTTCTCAGTGAAAGCAATTGTGGTCTAATAGATGATTTCTCCCATCTCTTCATTCCCAATAGGTGCAATAGGCAGTGTAGGGAGTAGAGGTAAAAAACATGGAGCAGATAAAAATTTCAATTAGGCGCGGTCCCTGGTCTGTGGTGCCTGATTCCCTCTTGTACTTGCTGCCAGAGGCCTGAAGCCTTCCTCCTCCTGTCCTCTTTGATTCCTGAGCGTGGGGGCTGTCGATTCTCCTCCTCCCCCAGGCCCTGCCCTTTGTTGGCGCTGTGCCGACCTCCTGTCTTAGAAGACCCTGCTCGCTGGCCAGCAGGACTAAAGTTGACACGGAGATGAAGCAATCGGCCTGACCCCATCTGCCAATCAAATGCCCTCTAAGTGCATGTGGGTAATTTGAGCCTCAGAAAAATTCCAGACTGGAGTGTGTGCCAGACTCCACATAGGAAAAATGACACACCCATCACAGATGTGGTGCCTGGGACCCTGCAATGACAGTGGGTCCTTGGCAGAAAGGAACGTTTCAGTGTCACAGAGGAGTGTTCTGACAAACGCATGGAAATACTTGGATCAGCGCCACCAGCCTCTTCTCTCTCTTCTGTCAGCTTACGCCTGGGATGGCTGTCACCAGGGCCCTTTGAGCAGCGACTTGAGCCACCTGGTGGCAGAGATTCGAGCTTTGAGAGGGCAGCTGGAGCAGAGCATTGAGGTGAACAACGGTCTGCGACTGCAGCTGGAGCAGCAGTTGGATCGGGGTGCCGGCAAGGCCGGCCTCAGCACCCCCCCAGCCAGCCAGAACTCAACGGCCAACTCCGACGCTGGAAGGGAGCAGCCGCTCTTCCAAGGTAGGAAGGAAAGGGCATTGGGAAGCCCTCAGCGAGCAGGGAGGCCGCCAGGATGTCTGTGGGGGAAGGGACAGTCTTGCCTCCTCCAAGCTCCTGAAGGTCAGCGTGAAACCGGAGATGCTTCAATAGAGTGGGAGCCGGGATTCAGGGTCAGACCTGCCTCCAGGTTCGGAGTTCGCCTCGGCCAGGGTGTTTCAACTTCTCAGTTATTTAAGCCTTGATTTCCTCACTTTTAAAGATGTGGATAACAATATTTTGTGTGGTTATTTGGAGCATTAAATGAAGTAATTTACAAGTGCTTGACACCATAAGAATTGCTCAACAATTGACAGCTGTGTATCTTAACTATTCCTTGTGTTTTGGGAGTGTTTTAAAACCACAAGTGTTCAAACAGCTTTTCAAATAATTTCGTCTGAGGCAGGGTAGGGCTGAGTTTCGTCTGAAACCCTCTCTGTTTTCGCATGAGAAGACTTAGGCGCTGAAACATTAACTGACATGCTAGGCTTACAGGAGCTGAGATCCACCCAGGGTTCGCAGCGGAGGTTTTGCCTTCCAGTTTGTGTGCCTTCTGCCTCACCATGCTCCGCCGTACTGCCGGCCTCCCCAGACTGTGTAGCCTGGCTTCCCTCTCCCAAACATGTGCGGAACCTGGCTGTGTGGAAGAACATTCCTGTCCCTAAGAAAATCCTGGTTATGAGAAAGTAGTGAACGGCAGTCATGTTTATTCCAGGTGGCTGTCAACCAGTTCTGCCCCCACACCTTGCCCATCTCTGCAGGTGGAAAAGTTTTAACTGGTTCTCTCCCTCGTCTCAATATCCTTCATCAATCTCTCTTCCCCCAATTTAACATGAATGGCAATATTGCCCCCACACAGTCTCTGGATACATTTATTTCTACTTCCTCTTCCCCTGCTCTCCACCGATTGGTTCACCATTTAATTTTTATCCACTCACCTCCACAGCCATATCCTCAATTTTATTTTAATCAGAAACCACCTCTGCTCAGATTCCCTAAAGCTGAGCTTTCAAACTTTCTTGCCTGCTGCTCTGGAGCGTGTTAGTCTTTTTCTCCCTCTGGTTCTGCCAGATGTTCGCTTACTGCACAGGGACCTCACCTGTCAGATGCAGGTGGTGCTCCCCGATCATGTTTTGTGGCCATTAAGCGGGAAAGCGCGTGCGGACTGGCGTGGTGCCTGGCACGTAGAAACCACTCGGCCTGCTCAGGCTGCTCGGGCCGCCACGCCGGTCGCGGTGTTCAGTAGGGGCCCCGCTCTCTAACCAGCCTCTCCCCTCCCGCACTGTGCCCCCCAACACAGCCGGACTCGGCCCCGTGGGCGCGGTCACCGTTCCTCCTGCTGTCCCGCCGCACAGGCCCAGGTGGGAAGCAGGCGCTAAGCCACATTTGCCTGAGCAGCAGTGTCTCTATGTGATGTTTCTTTTTTTTTTTCAGTTGGTGTTAAATTACAGTTGTCCCCATTGTCTCTGTGATGTTTCCTACTTCCTCCACGTAGGCTTGCTTCCTGTTCTCCATCATGACACCTCTCACCCACCAAGGCGTCTGCCTTTTAGTCTTCTGTCTTTTCTGCAGCACCAACTCCGCATCAGAATGCTGACGAGGATGCCCAGTGGTCACCCATACACCTATTCATCTCTTGAGTCAGCAGTTTTAACATATGTACCACATCATTTATGCACGTGTATACTTAGTTAAGAAGTATGGTACATCTGAAATTACTCAAAACTGGGGTTAGAAAAATATACCTAGTAACTTTTTAAACTAAAAGTTGCTTTCTCATGGAACACCCTTAAATTAAAGGAACATCTTGTTCCAAAATACATGATTCCTTTGCTCTTGCTCAGGGCACATGGGTGACGACTGCGTGCGAGGTGAGCGGCAGTCGCTGCCTCAGACCTCCAGTGCGGGGGAGGGGGCCGTGCAGGTGCTGGGGAGCAGTGGGTTTCAGGGTTCCTGAAAGTCCTTCTGCCTTCACTGCCTAGATGCAGCCGCCTCCCCTCCAGTTCGGGATGTTGGCATGGATCCAGCCCCGGTCTTCCCCAGCTCTTGTTCCACCGCTCCTGGTCCAGACATGGCCAGCTTCAACAGGACAGATGGTAAATATGGCCACTGAAGGGCTCAGGGACTGAGGACCAGAGATGGTCAGTGCAAGTGGCCTTTGGTTTTCTGCATGCACGTCATCTGAATTTAGCGAGTCTTCTCTGTGAGTCCCGAAGCCCTCGGCTCTACGCGTTGCAGCTGCTGTGGCCTCCTTTCCCGTCCGTACACTTTCCCCACCGGTTTTCCTTGTGCCCCGTTGCTCCATTGCACTGTAATCACTCCCTTCTGTAAAGTGCTGGAGAACGCAGCTACACTGCTGCTTGGTGTCTCCTCATCCCAGAAATTAAATTTTTTTTAATTAATATTGGTTGTAAATGTTTGTAATTAGCATAATTTGCCTCCTGGCACCTCTATCACTATGAGATAAAGTAAGAAATATTATAAAAACCCAGAACCCAGCACATCTATCGGCTTCACGCCACACTCATGCTTTTCTAAGACAGCCTCCCTTGTTCTGGCTCTTTCACTCTCTGATCGATCTTTTGCACTGGAGTGAACTGAAGATACGATTGTAAATGTCAGTGGGTCCTGTTTGCTGTGGCTTCGTTTTCAGAGCTGGGTTTGGATGCTTCTCCGGTAACGAAGAGCCCTGCCAAGCTGGAGGGAGATGCTACCGATGGCTCCTTTGCCAGTAAGCACGGCCGCCACGTCATTGGCCACATTGATGACTACAGTGCCCTGAGGCAGCAGATTGGAGAGGGCGAACTGCTGGTCAGGAAGGTGGCGTCTGTCGTGAGGTCGGCCTGCCACTGCCCTGGCCTCGACGCTCGGGGCACAGAGGTAATCACATCCCAGCGCTGTACGTCTCCCAATGGCCGCAGACACATCCTACACTTACACCCAGCCAGCCTTGTTCCCCGTCTCCCGTTTTCACTGTAAACTCCGTTCCCGGTGTAGCCACCTTGGTACTTCCCCTCAGAACCCCAGATCAGCCTCTGCAGTGTCGGCATCCACGGTGCTGTGCCGAACGCAACGCGGTAGCTCATTCTCTGTTACGGTCCTGCTGGCACGTGGCCATCCATGGTCACAGTGAAATCACTTAGTCAGAATTTGCGAATTCACATCCAGATGGGCTGTGTGTGTGTGTGTGTGTGTGTGTAAGTGTGTGTAAGGGGTGAGAAGCCTGGCAGCCGTGGGAGTTCCCTGTTGGGGCTGAGCCGGGGAGGAAGGCAGGCAGCCGCTTCTCAGAGCGCGTCCCATTGAGACACCGGGCACCAGCTGCTGTGCTGGCCTGAGCCACTGGAGATGCTGGGACATGTGGGGACATTCTGCCCCGGGAACCCCCCCACTAGAGAGGAAGACACTCGTGCAAGTGAATGCGTACACCAGGGGCTCCGGGCGCAGTGTTAGACGCGGTCCGCTAGGCGTAGGGCAGGGATGCAGAAGTGGCCATAGTCCCAGGGGAGCAGAGTGCCAGCTTCCTAGGGGACACCGTGGGGGGTGCACAGGTTCTCTGGGGGAGGAGCGCATGCCAGGTAAAAAGAGCTCAGTCCCCAGAGCTACAAATAAATGGTGCAGCCTGATGCCCAGACGAGGCACACGGTGTGATTTAGGAAGGGCAGGGGGTGCCCGGGGAGGAAAGCCTTTCCCTTGCCCCCGAGGTGCTCTGGCCTGCCCAGCAATTACACTGACATCATTAATGGGAGCAAGATAAATTTAATTTCACATGGAAGCCCCAAAGGTCTGAGGCTCCAGGAAGTGACCAAAGCAGGCAGCTAGTACACCCCTCAGACAAAGAAAGAATACAAGTGTGAGAACTGACAAAGCAAAGGGGTTTGGGCTTGGGGTGGCTAATGGAAGTAACAAGGTTTGCTTGTTGGTACAGCCTTCAACTCCCCGTCCCTGGTGATAAGGATGTTTCTCTACCTTCTAGTCCAGGGAGGGTACCTTTCACCTGGGAGATTTATATCCTGCTTTCACGGGGAGGGTCAGAGTATCTTTCTTGCACCTGCTCTTCCTTAAGTAACTTTAATTCAAATTGATCAATATACCAAAGTGGTGTAGTTCGCTCCCCTTCAGGACTGTAGTCTGAAGAGCACAGAGCAGAAGTGGAAGCTTAAAGGGCGTGTGGGGGAAGCTGGAATCAAATGAATTCTTGCGAATGGAGGTGCCTGCCGAGGTTGGAGATGCTGGGCTTGCAGGTTAGGGTTTCACAGGTACACCCTGCGCCTACACCTCGCTCACAAAGGAAGCTTCGTATCACCAACAAGCCGTGGGACCCACTGTGCTTGGGGGGACATGACCTCTCAGCCCCAGTGATGGCCCCGCCCCCTTTTCCCAGGTGCTCAGCAGCGAAGGCCTCCGTGAACTTCGCAGCAGTGCCAACGCCCTGCACCACGTGTTGGAGGAGTCGGCCTCCCTCCTCACCATGTTCTGGAGAGCGGCCTTGCCCAGCCCCCACAGCCCTGCGCTGCCTGGCAAAGCGGTAAGAGGCCAGCGTTCTTTACTGGTCTGCCCCCCGTTTGCTGTGCTACCTCCTCAGCCCCACGGGTCCTGAAGATCAGGGGCCCGGTGGTGAATTGAGGTAGATGGGACCTTAGAGGAGGGTCCCTGGGGAGACCTTTCAGCTGTGGTGGCTGCTTTCAGTGCAGTTCTGACCGCCTCCCTCCCCTCCCATCCCCCCACCCCCAGGGTAAGAAATCAAAGAGGACAGGGAAGGAGAAGGCAGCGCCGTGAGAACCCTGGTCACCATAAATGCTCAAAGTCTTTAACTTTCTGAAGTGGGACCAAACTTCAGGGACAGGTTAAAGCACAAATACTCCCACCATCCGCATAGTCAAGCAGGGTCACAGAATGTCACCACAAGATAAGAGGACTCTTGTAACCACCCACTGGAATCCCAACGTATCACTCGAGCCTGCGTCTCCCAGTCAGGCCTAGGGAGAGTCAGCCACCCCCAGGTGCTCTCAGACCTCAGGCCTGCCCGCTGGTTGCTGGTACCTTGGACAGGCAGTTTCAGAATATCCTCCCAGGCCTTCTAACTCCAGATTAACACCACTGACACCTTACGGGACCCAACTATGCTAATTCCAAGGGAGGGGGTTTTTGCCATCTTGAGGCTGGCACAAATATTTACAAAATTGCAGACTGTCTGAGGCTAGCCCCGTCCCCCCGGGCATAATAACCGTAATTACCAAGGCTTAGCTGTGATGTCCAGTGATATATCGCGGCCGGCGCTCAGCGGGGGTGCTGGTTCGCAGCTGGGAGATCGGTGCTGGCGGGGCAGGTTCTCCTCAGCAGCAGGAGTGGAGGCCTCTCCCGCTCTTGGGGGCTTCCAGGTGCTCAGAGTCCCTGCCCAACAGCCTCGCCCTGAGCTGGTAGCAGCTGCGGGGTTTTAGTTTCTCATGGAATCTGGTCCTGAAATAGTTGGGAAGATTCTAGAATCCTGCTGTGGATTGTAAAAAGCCACAAAGGGTGCTTGAGGCCTTCTGATCTTGACAGATGGCCGTTCCTCTTCCCCAGGGAGAGTCCATGAAAAGGGAACTTCTGGAACTGAGAAGCAAACTGTCCAAACAGGAGAGCCTCCTTCAGAGCACCGCCGAGCACCTGAGGACCGCCACCCAGCAGAAGGACAGCTTGGAGCAGTTCATCTTCAGCCAGTGTGGGTGCCTGAGCCAGGGAGGGGGACAGGAAACGGGGCTGCCAGACTCACTCGTGCCGTGGATGGACAGTGGCCAGAGAGACTGGGGGCAGGGAGACCGATGTGATGTCCCCAAACTTCCTGAGAGTCATCACGAACACAGAGGGATGGTGGGGCGGGTGAACGGCAGGAGACCCCCAGGCTGAGTGGGCCCGAAGGACACACTTAGCACACACCCCCAAGGCAAGTGGGGCCCAGCTGGTGATGTCTGTCTCGTTGGGCTGTTCTGTTGTTGCAGTGACCAGGACACATGATGTTTTGAAGAAGGCGAGGACTAATTTGGAGGTAAGAAAACAACAGAGAGCCCACCCAAACCCCATCTCCATCTGTCATCAGAGTCTGCAGGTGACCCTCCACCGGCTCTGACCACTGCCGGGTCCCCAGGCCACGTGTGGGAGCACAGGTGTCCCCGTCCGCCTCGGCTCTGCCACCCCAGGATGCGCTCCTGGCCATCTCAGTTCCCTCTCACATGGCATCGGCTTCTCTATTCCGGTTAGCCCTCCTGTAGTGCCGAGTCAGGGCCCCAGGGAAGTGCAGTCCCCCTGCTCCCGGAGGTCAGAGGCCACGTGGCAGTCGGCCTCTGAATTAGCTTTCGGTGAAGGGCTCCTGAGGCCAGTTGTATGTTCTGGCGTTTTCTGTCCTACTTTCTGAAAAAAATAAAAGCAAGATCCAACCTAGTACATTGATTTCGCTGTGCACTATTAGGCAGCAAACAGCGATTGGATTTGGATTTATCTTTTTCTGTGAAGCAGCATCACAGCAGAAAACCAGTGGTCTTACTGACCCGAAGGAGAATTTGACAGTAAAAACTGAAACTTAAAGGGAAAGACTTGATGTGTAAGACAGTCTCTACGGTTCCTTATACACTAACACGTCCCCTAGCAAGGAAGTACTTTGAAGAAAAACTCGAGATTTTAGAAATGGCTTAAAAATCAGAAACGAGGTCTTCTAACCTGCACTTTAACACTCGGCTGTAAGCACCTGCGCATTCTCCCGACCGAAAACCCGAGAGGACACGGCCCCCAGCCTGGGGTAGCAGGGGTTGGGCCCCGAGAGAACTCTGTCCACCCCCTTTTTTCTAATTCCCTTTGGTTTTTCTCTGATGATTCCTTTCTTTCCTGAGCCTTTTTAGAAGAACACTTCCAAGATTGCCTCTGTAAAGCCTTATTCCCGTCCCAGCAAAGGTAACCCGCTGGCTGCAGTACCCGCTGGCTTCCCCACTGGGAAGCTTCCTCTCTCTCCTGTTAGGCCACTGCAGAGTGCCTGAGGCCTGGGTTCTAATCCCAGGCTTGTCACTAACTGGTTGTGTGGCTTTGGCTGGCCCTGTAGTCTCTGAGCCTGCTGCCCCTCCTCCGCAAGAGGTGGCACTGGCCCTGAATGATTGCTGAGGTCCCCTGCTGACGCAGCCCCTTTTTCTGTGTTGAGTACGCGGGACGTACAGAGGGACTCCACTGCACAGCGCCCTCCTGTCCTACGTGTGCATGTGTCGTACTAAGCACTTCATTTCCTGGGAGATCACCAGAGTCATCACTTTGCTCCAGAATGAACTGGAGAGGGAGCTGGCGCCTGCGGAGGGGGTGGGAGGGTCTGGGGTGCAGCGGCTCTGGAGAGGCGTCTTGCCGCACCGGGAGGTGGGAAGCTTCCCTCTAACCTGGTGGTGGCAGCGGCTCCCTGGCCACAGAGCATCCCCAAAGCTCATCCACTTAGTGAGCTGCCCCCACTCAACCCTCGCAGCAGCCTCAGGACGCCACCAGCAGGGCCTGATAATAGGCAGTTACTTTGTTTTATTTTCCATCCAGGTGAAATCCCTAAGGGCTCTGCCGTGCACTCCAGTCTCGTGACCCTTGCCTTCCAGGAGCCTTGCAAGAAGCGAAGCCACCAGAGGTCCTTAAAGCAGCAGGAGGGATGGGCCCGCCCCCCTTTTGCACAGCTCCCCATCCGCTGAGATCCTGGCCCTGCACCTCCACCGCTGCTGGGGGTCTAGGGGAGCTGGGGGCAGGGTGACGGGCAGAGCACCTTTTCTGCACTTAGCGAACAGATCTGCCAAGGTCCACGGGTGCTCACTAAGCCAAACTCGCCTAGTCTGCGCAGGGCCTCGTGGCGCTGCTTCTAAATGCCCCAGTGGCAGGGGAACCAGCAACAGCACATTTTTCGCCTCAGCAACTACCCTCAGATGGTCAACTCAGGGGAAAGAGGACCCTGCTCCCCACAAACGGGCGCATGGTCCCAAAACGAGCTCCTCGGCAGTTCCGAAAGCACACGACTGAGCGGCGGTGTCCTGCAGGACGGTGGGCTCAGCCAGCGCCGCTCACAGACCCCACCAGACCCGGGTCAGCTCGGCTGGGTCACAGGCCGGTGTCTGCCTACAACAGCAGCACATGAGGTCTTTGAATCCACGCAGTGAAAGGGGTGACTGCCCGGACACCATCTCGCGCTTAGCCTAGGGCCTCCCGTTCCTGTTCTTTTATGAAAAAGCACCGGCTTCGCTCTAGACCCGCTGTTCCGCTCCACCATCCTCACTTCTCCTGGGCAATTGGGACTGAGGGTGAGAGCAGGCCCACTGCAGGTCCCACGTAAAGCGAGCCAGTGATCATTTCTAGGTGGCATGTGAGAGACCCCAGTTGTGCTAAACCCCATGTGTCTTCCCAGTGCTTTAGAAGGTGTGTATGTGTGTACAAATGTATGATATATATTTATATATGTTGCCGTAGCGGTATGTGGAAGGCCGACATGACTGGTGGGCAGGGTCTGAGAGAGGAAATGAAAACTCTGTTCTGGTGGCTATTAGGGCAAAATGTGCATAAAGAAATAAACGTTTTTCTTCGCCTACTGTGTCTCCAGGGTCTGCCGCAGTCTCTAGGCTGAGTGAGAACAGGAAGGGCGCACTGTCTCATACGCGAGGTCTAAGTTTAAAAGACGTTTTCCCTCTTTGTCATTTTGTGAGAATCCCAGTCTGAAGATGTAAAGAGCGGTCCTTACACCTGGGGTGCGTACAGTCAGCTGTGGGGGTTATCGAAGCCGCTTCCTGGGCTCCAACCGGAGACAGTTAGTCGTGTGGGGCCTGGGCCCTGCATTTGTTACAAAAGCGCCCCAGGTGACTCCAGTGCCGGCGGACCGCAGGCCACAGTTCAAGAAACGTCGTTTTATAATGTTGAACCAAAGCTATAAGTACATTTATTTTATTTTAACATTTCATTTAAAAAAGTACGCAAGTCGCACTAACGGGGTAGCGCCGTGGTTAGAGCATCAGCCCCACACCAAGGTTGCGGCTTTGAGCCCCGATGAGGGTCAACCAGTGAAGGCGTAAATAGTGGGACAGCAAATCACTGTTTCTCTCCCTCTCTTCCTCTTTCGCTGAAATCAATTTTTTTTTAAGTAGGTAATTTGTTTCATAAATGTTGACATAAAAACCTTAAAATATTCTTTGAGGCAAGTCCTCAGTTAGGTCCAGTAAAGCTACCACTCCACAGTTATTTTCTAGAAACCATTAAAAAATTAAAACATCCATCAACGCACTCATGCCTGAGCTACAAACACGCCTTACCTCCATAGCAGCTGGTGTGACCGCCGCATCGGTGCCCACGCCCAGGTCAAGCATTCCCACGAGTGCCTTTGGCTGTCAGTACAGAGGAGCTCGCTGGCAGATTCAGCAAAATGGGTGAAGAGTCAGCACAACTATTAGGTTAAAATAGCGAAATCTGAGGACCACTTGCCCTGTGGTTATTCCAGCATCCCGGCAATTCTTCCTTCATCCCTGTGCCAGGGCTGATAGGCATTGAGGATGTGACCAGTAATCTATGGAGAACTCAAATGTTGCTTCATAAGAAATGTATTTATGAACACATGTGACATACAAATCTGAGATCTGGTCAGGATCCGTCACAAACTAACTTTTGGGAAAGTGAAATGTCAAAAAGTAGCTCTGCTTTAAAAACAGTTGCAATCGTATCTCTGAGAGGGGGAGTCTCCAATATTTAACTTTTTATAAATTATAGTGTTTCCATGTGACAGGAATAGAGCCCACTCTTAAAAATCAGTCGGTGTGACCACCAGTGACTTCGGATTTGCCTTCATTAAATTCAAATAAGAACCATGTTGAGCCCTGTGAGGAGACTTGGTGGCTGAGAGTTCTATAGAAAAGAACGGGAAAAAATGATAGTTAATGTAACATTTAAACTATGTAAAAATATATCTTGACCTGTCAACTTAAGACAGACAACACAACCTGCAGAGTTCACACAGAGTTTATAGATCCCTCAGGTCTTACTCCTGCTACAGTGAGTGAGCTAGACACTTGCCTTGGTTTTCTGATGCTGTCATAACATGTCCCAGTGCACTTAGTGGCTGAAAAGAAGACACTGACTGTCTTGCAGTTCTGCAGGTGAGGAGTCTACGAGGATTTCACTGGACTGAAATCGAGGTGTCAGCAACACTGCCTTCTAGCTTTCCGGGAGTTCCCCGAGATGATCTGTTACTTGGCCCTTTCTAGCTTCCAGAAGCCGCCCACATTACCTGGCTGGTGGCCCCCCAAAACTAGCCAGAGCAGGCGGAGTCCTCACATGGCATCATTCTGACCTTTTCTGCCTCTTCCATTTCCAAGGCCCCTTATAATTATGTGGGGCCCACCTGATAACCCAGTATATTCTCCTCACTTCAAGGCCTTTAATTAACATAATCACATCTGCAAAGTCCCTTTTGCTATGTAACATAACATATTCACAGGTCCCCACAGGAACACAGGGACGGGGTGCGGGGGATGTGTCTATTCTGACTACCACAGCATATTAACTCAGATGCCAAGTACAGGAACTAAAACAAACTTTTCTAATTTCAACAGTTTAGTAAAATTAAGACACCACCTCGAGACATAATCTAGAACAGCAAATCAAGACAAACCCAAGTTCGACCCCTAGAAGTGCTCCATTGGTGACCAGTTGTTTTCTTTTGCAGATACGGGTTTTATTTTTTTTCCTCCAAAGGCTTTGATTGTAGAGGTCTCATCCAAGGCCAAAAGCTCACGGTGGAGGAAGGGAAGGTGGTGGCAGACTTGGTGCACCTGGGACCCTGCTAACCTTTAACTTGAAGCTTGGTCAAAATGGGGCGGACAGCATGGTTTTCTTTGGACGTCCCTTGCCTAACACAGGGCCCAGAAGGCCACGAGGGGGCGCTGTAGTTCCTCTCTTAGAACCTTAAATTTTGAAATACATTTATTTCTCTTTTATTGGGGTGACACTGGTTAACAACACACCATCTGTACAGTGTATTGGGTGCTCCCCACCCCCAAGTCAAGTCTCCCTCCATCACCATTTATTCCCTACCCTCGTCCCCCTCGCATCTCCAAACTGCTGTTGGTGCCCATGAATTTTTCCTTTTTGTTTATCCCCTCCCCTAGCTGTCAGCCTGCTCTCTCTGAGTCTGTCTCATTTTGGCTGTTAGTTAATTTTGTTCCTTAGATGCCACATATGAGTGAAATCGTAGGGTACTTGTCTTTCTTGAAATATATGAACTTTAACCCAGTATAGAATTTTGTTCGTGGCAATATGCTACCCCTAAATATTTTGAGTCGGAGATGAGCAGTGGCAAACAGGAATTTCCCTTTAAATTTTTTTAAAATTGATTTTTAGAGAAAGGAAGGGAGAGAGGCAGAGGGAGACACTGAATTGTTATTCAACCCATTTACTCATTAATTGCTTGATTCTTCTGTGTGCCCTGGCTGGCGATCGAACTTGCAACCTTGGCGCATCCGTGTGATACTCCAACCAACAGCCACCGGGCCCGGGCCAGGAGTGTCCCTTTTCTGAGTCACCTCAGGTGGGGAGTCATTCTGATCCGCACGCGCTGCTTGAGCCAGGGAAGTGGCAGTGGGCGGGAGTCCCGGTGCTTTGCTGACCGAGTTCCAAGTGCAAGGCCCAAGGTGACCTCTGCAGGGCCCCGCAGAGACTGCGCTGGGCGATAGGAGCCGCAGGCCCGGGAGACCAGAAAAGCGCGGGTCCGAAAACAACAAAAACCAGACAACCCACAAGGCCCCATTTAGACCACAGGCGAAGGTCCACGGAGCCACGGGCACTCACCTCCCCGCCGCTGACGCCCGGCCCCGGGGGCCTCGCGCGGAGTCCCAGCCGCCTCCGAACCTTCGTCCTCCGGGCGCGCCGCGAACCGTGTCTCGGGGAGGACTCGGCCTCAAACCCAAGCCCCGTCGGTCCCAACAGCAGCCCAGTCACAGCACGACCTCCGAGCCGCCTCCGGCCCGCTAGCCCTTGGTCTGCGGGACGCCAGAGCTGAACCTTTTGTCCGTCTGTCCTCCCCAGTCACCCTCTCCCCGCTGCCCCGTCCTGGGGGAGCGGGGAGGAGGCTCTAGACGTTTCTAGAGCATCTACCCGGCTCCGAGTCAGCTGCCGCAATCAGTTTGTAAGGACAGCCGATGTGAAAGATCTGGGTCCCTGTTGGACAGAAAGTCCCCGGTAGATTTGTCTGGGTTCACCCGCCCCGCACCCCACCCCCGGGGCGCGTGCGTCCTTCCCGGGGCATCTCCAGGGCGCGCCCGGCCCGGCCCGTGGCTCCAGTCCTCCCACCGCGACCCGGGACGCGGGCCGGAGCCGGAGGTGAGTGACCCCCGCGCCAGGGGCCGCGGGCCTCCGCCGGGCCCGGGGCGGCTCTCGCTGCGGCGAGGAGCCGGCGGGGGGCGGTGCGCCCGGCGCGCGCGCCTCGGATTCCCGGCCCATTGGGGCTCAGCGCCCGGACGCGCCCGCGGAACGGAGCCTTCCCGGCGGGGCCGGAGGAGACGGGACTGCGCGCTCATCCCGGAAAATCGGCACGCGGCTCACGCCCACTGGTGTCCGCGCCGCGCTCGGGCGGAGGGACTGGCCGTTACCTGCAAGGCGGTGGTTCGAGCCCACCCGGGGACGAAACCTGCCCGTCTGGGTGGTTTTTCGTGCCCTGCAGCCCTCGGTTCCTCCCCGCCCGTCTCCTGAAGGCCCCGGAAGCTCCTCGGAGTTTCTCCCGGCAACGCCCACCGCCTCCGGGACCCCGGGGAAGCGGCCGGCCCGAGGCCGAGCGCACGGGCGGCCTCACTGCAGCTGCGGGCCCCCGGCGGTGGCGTCTCCGCGCACGGTGCTCGCTAAGGGATCGCAGGACCCCACGCCCTTCGCTTTGGGACTGACGCCCCCTGTTAAAACATTAAGTTCACATTACAATAAAGTTTAACCGTTGTAAACTTGTGTTTTAATGACAGAGGTGGTCAACCAGCATCCTTGGTGCCCGAGCCCCGCCGCGCCCTCCTGCAGCACCGACAGACGTCACTGTGCTCTTCGTCTCCACGAGTTTGTCTTTTCTGGACGTCCCCTGCGGATACCACAATATGAGTGGTTTTTTCCAATATTTTATTTATTTATTTTTAGAGAAAGTGTAAGGGAACAAGAAAGTGTGGGAGAGAAACATCAATGTGTGGTTGCCTCTCACGGGTACCAGGAACCTTGCCTGCGACCCAGATATGTGCCCTGACTGGGAATCGAACCAGTGACTCTTTGATTCACAGGCCCGCACTCAATCCACTGAGCTACACCAGCCAGGGCCACATGAGTGTTTTGTGACTGGCTTCCTTCATTTAGCATAACCTTTGTGAGGTTTTTCCGCGCTGTAGCTTGTATCAGATTTCGCTGCTTTTTATTGCCAAACACAGTCCATCGTACAGACGCGGCGCGTTTTGTTCACCCAGCTGACGGGCATTTGGGTCGTTTCCAGTTTCTATTGGTGTAGCTGTTGTGGTTAATGCTGCCATGAACACCTGCGAACAAGTCCTGTGTGCACCTGCCTTCGTTTCTCTTGAACAG